TTCCCCTTTCCCTCTCTGTCTGTCTCTCTTGATTAGACAGGAGAGTTTTCTTTGAACTAAATTTTCCTCATTTGGGCCACTGACATAGCATGATTAAATTACTACAGAAGCCTACTTAAGGAGACCAGATAGATGGATCTGTTCCTTTACATCACAGACTACTTCAGAGTAGTATTTTTTCATGTCTGATGAAAACATCTGCTCAAGAGAAGTTGTGATTTGGGTGAGCACCTATCTGACAGCAGGCAGTTCTGAAATGCTTCCTGTTATTGTTGGTCTCCCTAAGCTGTTTGAACTTTTGCTTTCAAAGGTAGGTTTAATAACCTATCAGTAAGAGTTGATTTAAGCTGCTTTATGTTTGTTTCTGAGAATTTTCTTCAGTAAAGAGAATAGCTAGTAACAGAACAGGATTTATGGGCTTTGACCTTGGGTAGTGTGCATCTTAGAGTAATTGAGGAACAGCAAATACCTGCCTTGAAAAGGCTTCTCCAATAGTTATACACAGTGTATCTGTAGCCTATAAATAATTCTTTCCTATTTTGAGCCAGATGAGACACTGGGATAGATTAAAGTGGCAAATTTAACTATAACAGAGAGAGACATTAAAGCAATACTAGGAAAAGACTATTGCTTTGTTTATCCAGGCAGACAGGAGTGAATGTAATTTAATAATAGGTGCAGAGCAAAGGTTTCAGCACAAAGTCTTTTTTAATTCTGTGAAAGTCACTCAGTGTTGCTTGCATCTCTGCTTTGGATTGCTCAGTTCCATGTTAGCTGTCCACCTGACTCTCATCAGGCTTTATGTTGTTTCTATTCTTCTATCCGAAAAACCTTAATTGACTACAGAATGAGATGTACACTTCCAGTTTTGCTTCTCAATGTTCCTTCAATGCTGAATCAGCTTTGAAGCAGCTGTTAAGGCTTTATTTTTCCTCCAGAACCATGGCAAAAATAATTGCATAATGTTGATTTTTTTTTTTTTTACTGCAGTTATACATAATTTTTTTCCTGAAATTCACTTCAAAATCTATGATTTTGCTGTAAGCTTATTGTTTTCAGAGTTGTGAGAGGTACTGCAAGGCTGCTTTGAACCTGTGTGATTTTAAAGGTTTGAGGACAACCTGGGATGGTACTTTTTTTTAAAAAAAAGCATTGTATTCCTGTTTTACATATTATCATATGTTTACATTAGCTGTAATTGATGTAGAATGATAAGGCTCTTACTAGCAGATGATAAGTAGAGATAAGTGCTGTTTATCATCTTATGGTGTAGCAGCTCTAACTAATATTTGATGCTCATGTATTCTTAATTCTTCAAAATGCACCTGGTGAGGTCATTTGCAGAGGTACTCTTGGCCTACTTTTGCAGCTGTTGACTTTATAGAAAAGAATTAGGCCAATACTTAGCACTCATGAAAATTACTGTCCTAAATTTATTTGGATTTGCCTCAGCCTCACACCTTTAAGTTGTCTTTTTGGAGTAGACCGAAGTAAGTGGCCCTGTGTGCTCCAGAGAAATGTGGGAACAAATACAATTCTGGGGCCATCCTGTGGCGTGGAAAAGAGCAAATTTTAATGAATCTGAAGCAATTGGATCATGATGACCTAAAAAATCAATTTTTGTTGCAATCTTCACTTCATTAGCATAACACTGCTTTTTATGCTTGCTTTAAAGTTGTAATTGCTCTTACACCTGGTGGCCTTAATTTCCACAGGTAATGCAAAATATCATTTTCCTTAGAGACACCTAGGCACTACTGCTGAAAGCCAGTCAAGCTAGGATGCAGGATCAGTGTTTTCTCACCTTCCTGGAAGAATAAGTGAGTTACTGTTGAAGAGCAGCCACAGTTTTCTTTTTTCTCTTCTAAACTTGAAGAGAATTTTAAAAAATAAGCACAAAATTATTGCTAGAATATGTACCTGTTTTTATGGAGGAGCTGGGGGCATTATTTTTATTCCAATGCACTTTTTCATGCTCAAATCTGGAAGTCTTAAGGTAATAAGTTAAATTACTAGGAAACACTAATAGAATAAAGCACTTTGGAGGGAGGACACATTTTTCACTCCTGAATTCTTCAGGGCTGGTAAGAAAAGTCCAGCCCATGCAGTAATTCATTTGAAGGAATAAAGGAAAATTCAAAAGCCCAACTTTAGAAGTAGACTGACAAAATACTTCAGGTGCACTCTGCTGGATTTACCTCACCTGTCTCCTGCTCCTTTTTCAAGCACCTCTTGTTAGGTAGTGACTCATCTTCAGCTCATTTGAGTTCTGGAAACGTGCCCATCTCACTCTTTTTGATTCCAGAAGGACAAATGACATTGCCCTAGGAGATCTTAAGTGCTTTCTTAGGTGGCATAAGTCTGTGTCTGTCTGACGTCAATGCTAGTAAGTGGAGCAGTGCAGTAAAACTGGATCCTTGTAGTCAGTCACTTAGAAGACCTAACATCAGCCCCTGCCCAAGACTCCTCAGGACTAGCTCTAGCCTGGTGTTGTGGACTCAATGCTTTGAGCTCTGGATGCAGTCCTGGAGCATATTTAATCCAAAAGGGATTTGGTGTCCATGCTCCAAGACTGACCTGCAGTGCAAACCTTGTTGTTAAAGGAGATTTGCAGAGGGAGTACCCCACTGCTCTGTCCTAAAACATTAGTGTAGCCAAACCTTAAGTTCATTTAAACTCCACACCAGAAACATGATGATAGAAATATTCCTACAATTATATGCCTTCTCTCTGTGTTGAAATCCAAGAGACCTCTAGGGTTTCTTGAATTTCTTGACACTTCTATGACATCAGAACTATTATGCTGTGTGTTCAAACAGGCAAAGGACATTGTATATGATAAATTTAGTGTTTCCTGGAGATATATACTGCGCTTTTTGCTGCAAATTAGAGCCTGTTTCATGCCATAAACTCGGCCAAGATGCCAGATAGTCACCAGAGAAAGCTGAAGGTGCCCATTCTGAACAAGAGCAGTGAAGGGAACAGGGATTTATCTGGGCAAAGCGTGTTCCAGAAGCAAAGAGCTTGCTGCGTGGTTTCAAGGGGATATCTGAACAATGACTTTGCAGGAAAAGTGTTTCTGTTCCTGTTGAGAGTGTTTCACCCCTGCTTGTTGATACAGATGTTACCATGTTATTAATACCATGTTGCCAACTTAATACCATTCAGTTAACCATTAAACTCGTTTTGCTAAATGGAGCTTGAAAGTAAGGAAGAAAGTTATCCTTAATATTTATTCCATAGTTTAAAACCTGAGCTACTTCTAAGTTTTAAAGAAATAATTTTAAAAAAAGGAAATAAATCTAAGCCTGTTAAAAGTATTATTTCTTAATGACATGCCACTCAAATTTGTCTTCCAGATAAAAAGTGACCATACCTGCCCCAAAATGCACTACACCTAATCTCAGTCATAACTTCAGTCTCAAATCCATTTGTTGGGCCCAAATCACATAGACCTTGCTGTCACATTGCTGTCCTGGGGTGTTTTTTTTGCCTTCATTGTGTTCACTGCCTTTGTAGCTCTGTGATGCTTCCTGGAATATTGTTTACCAAGCTGACTCACCTTCACTCCTGGAAGAACCCCAGGAGAGTTCATTTCTCACCTCACTTGTGGAGGTTGGGGCTGTACCACAGATTTGTTCTGGAGGTAACAGAGTATTTCTAACTAGGTAAAGTAAATGCCACAAAGAGAGGTTGTGTTTCAGGTGAAAAGAGGGCATGTTGATTGAAATGTTACAGCCAGCTATATTGCCAGAAAGCACTGAAGATTGAGAAAGGTTTCTGTTCAGAAGCTGGATGCTTTGGACCACAGCTGCAGGGAGAGAGGTTTAAATATAGCACCTGGTTTTAATTTTGTGTTATGGTTGGCTTTTCTTATCTGTGGCTTTTGATGTTTTATTTTTTTAAGGAAAATGAATTCTTAAAATGCACAAAATGTTTTACTAGGGATCTGAAATTACAGCTTCTCTCAGAATAGAATTTAAACCTCTTCAAGAAAAAAATGAATGGCAAACTTCAATAATCAGTGATCCCAGCTCAGGACTGTGTTGTGGCAGTGCAAGCAAGGCAATTGTGAAGTAGTGCCTCCCTGTTTTGGCAATGAAATCTCTCTTTTCTCTGTGGAAACTTCCTTACCTTTCTCAGTGGTTGTTCTTGGACTCTGCCTAACTGTGAATTCTTTGCCCGAGGCAATAAAATTCAAAGCGATACACAATTTTTTTCAGCCACCTCAAGTTTTGGGAAGCATCACCCTTTTGTAATGTCCTCTATTTGTTGTTTTGTTTTGTTTTTAAAAAAGTATGCAGTTACCATGACAACTTTTACCCGTGCTGGAACTCCGTTACTGGGAGTTCCTGGCATGGCTTTTATTTGCATGTGCTGCAAGGAGCACTGTTATTAAACAGACTGTTAATTATTCTTCCAGTCCCTCACTGAGACAACTGATGAGACAGTAGACAGAGCTTTCTGACACCATGTAAAAGTGGTTGTGCACAGCTCTATGCAGCTAAGTTTTCATTCTCACTACTTTTAGATACTACTCTTTTATGCAGAGGTTGGGTTTTTTCCCTTATAGCATGAAGCTGTGCTTAGTTGTTTAAATTATCAAGGAACAGAGAAAAAGAGGCATTTATTTGATTGCATCATGATTTTTGGTGACATTTTATTGGATATTTGCCTCTCACTTTGGATCAATTTTGGGCCATTTCGTCTAGATACTTATGACTTTCTTTGTGTGTTTTTATTAGTTTTTTTATTACTTTGTCCTCTGAATAAATACCAATAATTAAAATGTTTTTTTAGGATTCAAAATTCACGTCATTCCTGTTTGAGACTTCCAAATTTATCTTAAAATGATTGTTCAATTTATTTCTTATGAAATATAGTAATGTGCTCAGTTTGTGTTACTAAAGGGTTTATTATGATTAATGCTAGAATATGGCAGCAAGAGACAGTGTCTGATAACTTGGGTTTGTGGTTTTTTTTTTTCTTTTCCCTTTTAGGAGTTTCCATGGGATACAGATCATGCCACTGGACTGCATTTGGATAAAGGATGAGCTCAGTGTTTCTCTGAGGAGTCTTCCAACACATTTTCCTAATTACCTTTTAATGGTGTTCTAAGTGAGCTTATGTGAAACAAATAGTATTGGATCATGAGTGAAGAAAAAAACTTTGGTGCATCCCAGAAAATGCTGTCTCCTTCAAGAAGTACTAGCAGCTGCTCCTCCAAGCAGGGAAGTCGACAGGTACTTTTTTCACCAAATGAAAGCTTTGCTAAGATTGGCTGCTGCTTTTTTCCTTGGATATATGAAAATCTCTTAAACCTTGTTTTCCTGTTGCTTGCTTGTTTTATTTCATCACTTCTTTGCTCTCCTCTTTTTTCTTTTGTTTATTTCTTGGGTTTTTTGTTTGGTTTTTTGTTTGTTTTTTTGTTTTGCTGGTAGCAGCATCCTAGCTAAATGCAGTGAACACATATTACTGAATAGCAGGCATGTATAAAGCTGGAATGCTTACAGTGAATTTTGATTTCTATCTTATTGTATGTATGGTGTGTTTATGGTGAAATGGAGCTGCTGCAGCAACTTGGTCTCAGTGGTTTGATCCTGAAATACCAAATCTTTTCTGTTAGGCAGAATATTCTTTTTTTTTGCGGCAGAATATTGTGTAACTGCTCTGTTTATTTCAAGTTTCCAAGGAAAGGTGTGCATGAATGTGTGAAAGATAATTCATTTTTTATGAACCTGACACAGGGCTTCTTTGAATGCCCATGTGTGCTGGTTGTTGCTGTAGAACTGTAGATAGCAAAATGAGTATTTGTTTAACACGATGCATCTGTGGGCCAAATGTAAAGGCTGCTTTGTTTTCTGCAGAGATGATGCTAATCTTTAAACCTCTCAGTTTCAAAAGATGTGTCTACAAGTGTTTGCACCTGACAGGTGAGGCTGCTGAAGACAGCTTTGTTTGTGGGCAAGAAATGCTGACCTGCAACCGCACTGAGAATTAAACTTTAATGTGCTCAATCCATGTTTGCAAAGTCATGAGCAAAGTGCTCAACATAAACTTTTATGTGTACAAGTGCTGGCTTAGTGGAGCTCTTGAAGCTGCCTGAGGCAGAGATTTTAATTGGAGTTGAGCATCCTGATCCCTCAAAACCTTTGGAGTCCTCATCTGTGTTTGAAACAGCACCTGCTCTTCTAGGACTTCTGGCCCTGTTCATACAGTTGGCAAAGCAGACAAATGTTTGAACAATTTACCATTTTTTAAAGTGCTGTGCATTTCTAGTATACTGAGCAATAAAGTCCTTGCTCTTAGGACTTCTTTTTTGTTTTCCTGCAATATTATCTTTTATACCCTCCATATGAGATTACCTTTGAAAATCATAATTTAAAGTATTTGGTATTGTCTGTTCAACAGTTTGTGTCTGTCAAGTGCTATAATGTGTTATTTAAATAATAAGATTTACATGAGTATGACTAAATCCACTGGTGTTTAATACAGCCAGTATAAGAAACCATACTTATGCCATTTATTTGCCCTTTTCATCTGTATATTAGTTTAAATAAAAATACTTTAGGTGTTCCATTAAGAAAACAGCAACTATCTAAAGTTGCATGAAACTGTTAAAAATCCCCTACTCAGAAAAGGACCACATGTTGTAAAATAACCTTCAGGAGCTTTTGTTTATTTGTTTGGATTTGTCTTGGTGTTTTTTTCAAAATCCTGATAGGATAGTGGAATATAAGGCTTCTACTGATACTTTTTGATTGATAGTATCCTGAAAGTTTAAATGAAGTTGCCAGGTGCTGTGCAGGTTAGGGAGTGACATACTATGATTTTTGTGTTCTTTTCATATTCCAGCTCCATGAAGGCTTATTCCTCCTTCAAACACTTGCATCTCTCGTGCTTGTGGGTTAGTGACAGATCTTCCCAACTGGTGCTTTTCTCTGTGCTGCTGCTCTGAGCCAGTACTTCTTTGAATCTGATTAAGTAGAAAGAAGATCTGAAAACTGTAGAGGAAAGAAGAGTTTGAAGCAGGGTGAAGTTTGCCCTAAAAACAGCATGATCTAAATTCCAAGTCTCCTGATTTCCTAGATGCAGGCTTTATTGCTGGTGTACGCCAGCACCAAGTGAGTGACCTGAGGCTGGGATAGGGAAGCACAGTAGTGCCAGGCTGCTGTGCCTGCTGAAGTTTGGTTACATGTTGGAGGGCTGTTTGTGTGGAGCATGACTCCTGTGATGCAGAAAACGAGCCACTGTGCTAGAAAGGAGTTGACTTAAGCAGGGCTGCAGGACTATGAGGGATCCACTCCTTCCTTTGCTGCACGTGGTGCTTGTTTCCTGCCCCATGTAGTACATTTGCTGTGTGAGCTGAATAGGCTGACAATTAATCCTCTTCTGCTAAATTCACCTTCACTTTGAAGCCCCATGAGAAGTTGGAGGCTACTGCCACTTCCCAGCTCTTTGCTCTTCTCTTCCCCTCTCCTTCAGTTATGGAAAGGGATCTCTGCCACAGAGACACAACTCAAATTGAGTTTTGTGAGGAAACAAAACCTGCATTGACTTTCCTTAAATTTAAACTGACCTGTGATCAAAAGAAGGTATGTTGTGCTAGTTATTTTTAAATCCAATATGTTAACTAACTTTTAAAATAGATCCACCAGGGAAAAGCTTTGTGACAGGAGAACCATTTAAAAAAAACCTCATGTTCCATAAAAGAAAATTAAATAATTTCTGCCAATTTTATGAACCATAACAAATGCCTTAGTTGCAGTTGATGCCAACCCTTATCCTCCACAAAGCAGGTTTCTATTTTTGGCAGTTTTAAATATTTGGTACAACTGACTGCATTTTGCACTGGAAGAAAATGTGGCACTGTCATCTGTTTCCTTCAGGGAGCTGCAATCGCAGGCGTCAGTCTGAGAGCCACTCGGAATCATTACTTCATAACTTCCCCTGAAATAATTTGCCTTAAGGAGCTGTATGGTGCAGAATATTGCAGAAAATGAGAAGGCTTTTATTATATCAAACCAAGAAAATGAATACATTTACCTGATAATGGATTTATCCCTGAAGACCAAACTCCATGTTTTTTTTCCTCAGCCGTAGACCAAGTATGAGCCAAGGAGTGTGTACAGTGGGATTTTTCTGTGCTGATCTGAAATGAGCACCTCTGGACCTGAGAAAAGCAAAAATTTTGGTCCTCCCTTAGCCTCAAGTGAAATTTCTTCCCAGACAGCAAATGTAGTGTTGATCATTTTGTGTAGATTTTGGCCCATAATGATGCAAAATATTTTGTAGTATCATAATCTTAAAGCACAACCAATCTAGACATCAGACTTATGCTAGAATTGTTAATGCCATTCATCTGGGAATTTTGGGGTCTTTTTTGGGGGGGTGTCATTGTTTTTTTGCAAGTTAGTGCCATGTTTTGAGCCATCTCTTTCAGTTCCCTATTGCAGAGTAAGAATAAGCAAAAAGGAGTATAATCTGAATGCTTTCAAGAAATCCTTTGTCTCCAATTTGCTCCTCTGCTATTTCAGAGGGATGAGTAGAGATGATAATTGACCAGCCTGGTTCATTTGCCTTCATTTTAGAGAGTAAGCAGTTTTCTTTCACTTCTGCAGCTGCTCCCAGGAATAGCCAGCTGACGTTTTTTCCTCATTCAGTGAGGTGTCAAATCTTTCGCAAAACAAAAAACCTGGTCAAGATCTGTAGGGTCTGGATGGAGCAAATGGATCCAAAACCAGTCACAGCAGCAGTGTTTTTGAAAAATGTGAAAGTTTGATCAGGTGGGAAAGGTTGGATTCTTCTGGAAAAATGCATGTGGAAGAGGACCAGATTGTGCTAATGCATCATGGCACCTTGCATGTATCTAGAGCATCCCCAGACTGTTAATTCTGTGAGCTTTTAAAAGGATCCATTTCTAATTCAACTAAGCTACCTTTATGTACAGCTGACAGTTGAACTGTGAGGTTCCCAGGGTAGAGAGATAAGTATAGCAGACTTGCCTTCTACCTGAGATTTGGCAGGCTACCAAGCCCACTTGAGGGGAAGCAGTGCTTCCACTACAGCTTTTCTTCCCATTTTCACACTTTTTATTTGAGAAGGCACATTCTAGGGCACCTTGCTGACCTGAAGAACTGTGATAAATATGAGTTTCCTGCAGGAATGCGAGAGACAGCTCGGGTCTGTGCTGCAGGAGAGGTCCAGGGAAAATTGGATTTGTAACGGAACGTCGTATTCTGTATTAAAAGTTTGATCAAAACTATTAACATTGTATATTCTAGATGGTGTCATTGGCTGAGCTATATCTCAGCTGATTCCTTTCTCTTCACCTCACACATCCAGTATCATGGGTCTGTCTCACTTGAGGAGTCCCTTTCCTTCTAAGCTTTTCTGTATAGAAAGGTGAGGCTCTGTGGTTACTCACTGCAGCCTTTTTGAGTACTTAACAGAGAGTATAAAAAAGACAGAGCATGATTTTTTACACAGTGGTAGGATGGGGGGAATGGTCTCAAACTGAAAGAAGGCATATTTAGATCAGCTGTTAGGAGATTTTTGACTGTGAAAGTCATGAGACCACTGAAGCAGGTTGCTCAGAGAACTTGTGGATGCCCCAGCCCTGGAAGTGTTCAGTGTCAGGTTGAATGGGGCTCTGAGCAATCTGGTCTAGTGGAAGTTGTCCCTGCTTATGGCAGAGGGGTTCAAACTAGATGATCCTGTAAGGTCCCTTCCAGCCCGAGATAATCTATGATACTGTAAATCTTTCTTGACTGAGATCAAATTTCTGCCTGTCTCCTGCAATCAGACCACTCTTTCAATGGTATGCTGTGTTTATGCATGACCAAACTCTGAAAACTTGATCCCAGACCTGGAGAAAGTTCTTTCATTAGGTCCAACATGAGAATATTGAAAAGGATCTACTGTTTACTACTACCAGATTAATTCTCAGTGGAAAAATTACGTGTTTGGGTACTGCAGTTTAATGTATTTTGGCAAGACAAGGGAAATAGCTTGCTTGGTATTTGGGCAAAGCAGCTTCTAAGTTCTTCTTGTCTACTTTCAAGAAGAAAGAAACAAAACCATAAACACAGCATTTTTCTTAATCTTGCAGCTGTTCCTCTTAGTTCTGAATTAGAATTATATGACAAAATGTGTTCCCTCAGTAAAAATTTTGGTTAGGACAACTGCACCTTTGACTTGTGCAAGTCCAGCCTCATTGGGTGGTCTGTAGGGTGTTGGTTGACAGGAGCTGCTCAGCCACACATTCCCACTGCTTGTGGCCTATTGCATGCTGAGTGTTGGGAGACCAAACTCAAAACAGGAAAGCAGAGCAGCTTACCCATTTATTCTATTAAATGAGGCACAAGGAAAGTAACAGAGAAATAATGGAGTGCTACCAAGAGTGTGGTGGAATTCATAGATGCCTTTTCAGATATGGTTTGCTTGTAGTGGCTTATTACGCAAGTAAAGAGCATATTACCTGATGTAATTTTTTTCTGGGTTTATAGAGATGAATTTTAAGGATTCTGAAGATAGATGAGTGAGGACAGCTAGCACACTTGCTGATTTTTTGTTTAATTTTTTTTCATTTTTCTTTTTATGTTTTTTTTTGGAGCCAGTCAAGCTCTTTTTGGGAATACTTCCCTACGTATCTTGCAGGGAGCACCATGAGTACTTACCTACCTGGAATAGTTCTCTTTTCCCTAATGTGCTTCACACTAGTCCTTTTTTGTTATTATGCTCTATGTATGCCTTATCTTTTTCAAATGTAAAGGGATGGTACTAGCACATACCATTTCCTGACAGTTATTTATAATTCTACATCTGCCAAATCCTGGCAATAAATAATTCATGAGATCTCTGATCAGAAATCTTGAAACTCATGTTACATTGTCATTTGTAGTTGTTCCATAAATAAAAACTATAAAAAACTATGAGATTTAGACTCATCTCTGTTTTTTTGCCGCAAGGTCCCTCATTTAAGAGTTCCTGGTGGCAAAAAAAATAGAGATTTCACTTTTAATTAGTTTTACCTGATAAAGGGTGAGCTCTGTTTTTCTTGTAGTTTCCATTTATGTCATATCCCTTATAGTACTTGAGTTACTTCCCTTGCTTTTTAATCTGTTTTTCATTTAGTTTGATTTAATTAATTTTATTATTTTTGCCTTAGGGAGGCTGCAATTTGCACCAACAAAAAACCTTGTGTTACTGAGTATGGACAAAAGAGTTTTATAGAAAAAAGGACTTCATTTTCAGTGTCTTATTTTTTTGCTTCATAATCTGCAAAACCTATCCTTTTAACATTGGCTGTTTCTGTCTCATGACAGAAGGTTTTCTGCTAAATTCTGATTATGCTCTGGTTATGCACTGTGTGTGTGTATGTGCAGGAAAAGATAGATATAAAATTCTGGCAAGCACATATATTCAATAAAGGATGGTGTCATAAAAATTATGTTTTATTTAGTGGTATTGTTTCTATCAAAATTAAAGAGACCCTTATCTCTCTGATGATACATAAAGTGTAAAGATGGATCCTTGGTTATATTTCAACATCAATTGGGTTTTGTCTTTTTTTCTTATAGCCTTCTTCTTCTTGAATCTCTCTTAACAATTCAGTTCTTTGGAAGAAATAAGATCTACATTTGGATTTTCTGTTTAAGCAGGACAGCTGGGAAATTGTAGAAGGACTCCGGGGAGCAATGAATTGTACCCAGGAGCCACAGAAGCAAGAGGGCTGCTTGCTGAAAAAGAGGAAATGGCCTCTGAAAGGCTGGCACAAGGTAGGAAAGGAATGTGTAATCTGAAAGCTTGAGTGGGACTTACTTGGTGTGGCTTGGTGACAAAAAGGTTACATAAAAGCAGAGAAAGTGTTCTCCAAGGAAATTGAATGGGGGAAGATGTGTTTGTGCAATTTTTCTGTTTGTGGCTTTTCTAATGGGTTTTGTTTGTTTTTAATTCTCTACATTTCTGTTTACAGAGATACTTCTTTTTGGACAGAGGGATTTTGAAATATTCTAAATGCCGAGCTGATGTAAGTGATCTGAAACCCCTTAAGGCCTTTATAAAGTAACACCACTCTATTATCCAAAATAACAATAATTCCCTACTGTTGGCAGCAAGAAATAGAGTTTTCAGCAGTTCTGAACAGTAGGTTGAGAGGGGAAGAAATTCTGATTTCAGAAGGCAGTATTTATCTTCTTGCTTTCATGTGGAGTGATTGTGTTTCTACTTCTCACTCTTTTGCAGATAGAGAGAGGAAAACTTCATGGCTGTATTGATGTTGGACTTTCTGTCATGTCTGTAAAGAAATCAACAAAATGTATAGATTTGGATACAGAGGAGCAGATATACCACTTGAAGGTAGGTCTTCAAGATTGTTATAACCTTGCTCCCAAACTACTGCCATTAGCTGTGTAGGTTGGAGCACTTTATTTTTTAATAGTAAGAGGTTTGTCAGTTACACTAATGACTTCTTAGTCTCATCAGATTAGCTTGCACTTAATAACTGGAGAGGTCTTATTGTACTGTTTCTGGGCCCAGAATCACTAACCCTGTTCTGAACAGAAGCCTTGAAGATGCCTCATGTTTAGCAGTGCTTTTTTCATTTCGTGCACAAGTGCTTTTATTTTCAGTATTTTCATCCTTGTCTTATCTATAGGAAGTGCTTCCCATGGTCAGGTATGGGGATTTATACTTGTGGAATAAATTGTTTTAAGATACATCAACAAAATCAAATTTCTATTTGTAATTAGTTAAACACTGACCTAGCTTTAACTATGTCAATTAAGAAATTACAAATTAAATGTGAGGGGGTTTATTCAAATTTTAAGGGTTTTTTCAATCTAAGTTGCCTTTAGTATTGTGTTCTGCATTGGAAGGCATAATTACTAACTGCAGTTTCTTTTTTTCCTGACTTTATCTTGTGATTAATTTTCTGTCATGCCTAAGCAGTGTGCATTTTGGTAGGAATATCCTTAGAAAAACTTCCCTGATACTTTGCCAGTAGAGGTCAGCCAGGCTAGCTGTCTAATGAGCACAAAATACCATCATTTCTTTGTTAGTTGTTTTGAATGTGAATGTCATCAACCCTGAAAATTTTTTGTAGGTGAAGTCTCAGGAGCTGTTTGATGAATGGGTAGCAAAACTTCGCCATCACAGAATGTACCGTCAGAACGAAATCTCCATGTTTCCTCATGACGCAAACAATATTTTCTTCCCTGTGTCTACTACTACAGACTCTGTCCCTGGTTTCTGTGATTCTTCTCCAGGTAGAAAGGTAATAGTTCTTATTTATGGATAATGAGCTTTCATAAGGAATTAAATTAGTCTAATTTGTGTTCATTAAATAAAAAGCATAATGGAAGTTTGTGGTGGAACTTCAGTTATGCTCTAAAATGTTAAGAGGAAAATTTATTATTTACTGATTTATACCCAAGCAGTTTCCTTTATGATGCTGTTAAATTTTGTAGTAGTTTTTCACTATTTTAATCCAGTAAATTGTATTTTCACAGTGCATTTCGGTATATTGAGTTAGAATCCTCATAGTTTTTGGGACATATATCAGTATTTGTCTGATGTGCGCTGGTGAATATTAGTCACAGAAGACTACTCAGCTAGGTATTTTTTTCCCTTTAGCATTTTGTTGTATATCCTTTAGCTTATAAACCCTCTCCCCTTTTACATGAATGAAGCTGACTACTTAACTAAGGAGTATATAGGAATTGTACAAGAAGCCATCAACTGGGACCACTATTTATATTTTTAACTGTGGGAGAAGCATTACTCAGATCAATCTAAGGACTGTGCTGTGGGTGGATGTGGGGTCTGGATGGGTCTAGTCATCAGAATATTTTTCTTTTAGTAAATTCTGTGAATTAGTTTCACAAATGACAAGACAGATACTTGGTCCAACCCCATAAACGGCCTCTTTGCAGTTTCACGGAGGATGGTGTGTGCTCTGTGCCTGAACACAGCCTCTGTGTCTTCAGCTGTCTGTACATTGGCTGACCTTCACCCAAAGCAGCTCTTCTGCTCCAATATACAACCACTGGTTGCTTTTCAGAATCAAAACCACCTGTTCTGCATTACTACAATTAAAATGTAATAACTGTTTCTGTCAGCTTCAGAATGATTCCTGAGCAGCAATGCCCTCCTTGTTCTCCTTCTACCCAAGGCTTTCTTTTCCCTGGTGTAATTACTTCACGGTCTGAGTAGGCTCGTTCCCCAATACCCAGAGTTCATCACTTTATCCTGTAACTGAGGATGAGTTTTAGCAAACACAGACATGTGTCTGAGGAGCTTTTTGCTGGAGAGGGAGGAGATGTGTGTGAGCGGGCAGCTGAAGGAACAATAACTCACCCTGCGGTAACAAGGCGGTTCTGCAGAGACTTGTCTGCACGCATTTCGTGTGCCAGCAGCTCCGTGGCCCTGACAGCCTCATCTCCCCAAGCAGTGTCTGCAAGGGAATGGCAAATCTCCTGTGGCCATCTAGTTATTTTCTCCTGAAAGACAGCGGGGATAGAAGTGGGGAAGAATATCAAGGGCAGAAGTGGAACATTGATAAGTCCATGGTGTATTTATGCTGGCACCCTCTTAAAAACCCCAAAAACCCCTGGTCACTGTGTGGCCCAGCATATCTAAAATCTCTGCTTACTGTCATGAAACTAACCATTTCTTCTTTGGCCTGAAAGACTTTAATTCAGACTATTAATCCAGATTTGCGCTGCAAAGAAGCCCTACTTATTTTCATGTGAAAAATAGAAGGGGATAGTTCTTAAGCTGCAGTTAATCACCTTAGCTGTGCTCAAGCTAAATGGAAGTCTGCCAATTCACACCAGCCTTAGCTTGGCATTAGTTGATATCACTCCAGCACTTAGGTTATTTTAAGAAATATAGATCAAGTGAACTTTGAGTTGCATTTTATTTGCTTTTAGCAACACCTGATTGGTTTTCACTTTTTTTTTTTATTGTTGTTGAGAGACAGGTGTAGGTATCTACACATGTTTATATGGAATTCTTGGATTCTGAAGCTTAACTGTGCTGATCCAAAGCCAAACTATGAAAACTGGAGCTACACAAGCTCTCTCTTGTCTGCTTCTTGGCAATCCCCACTTCCTTCTTTCCTCATGCTCATGTCACTTATGTGTATGACTTCTGGAAAAGATGGTTAGGTGAGGCCAATTTCTGAAGAGATAAATGTGGAATTGGTTCACAAAATGCCAATATAATTGACCGTTATTAAATTCAGTTTACTTGTGCTTTTAAAGGTACTGAGATTATTATTTGGATATGTATATGTGTGTGTATATGTTTATGTCTAAATATATGACTAAAGCTTGTACAGCTTTATGTAGGAATAAGCCAGTTAAGCTGTATTAATTTAGTGCTCACTGATGCTTACTGCTATTGCACACCGATACAATACCAAATGACATCACATGGATGTTGCACTTTATTTTATTCTGAAACTCAGGTTGGTGGTTGTGTTGTAAGCTTTAAAAGGGCAACAAAGAAAGTGGCAACTGACCGAGATGTAGATGAATTTTCTTATTAATAGATTTAAAATTAGCACTTACTGGAGTTCTGATATAAGGTGAGAAGGAAAAACGTTTGTAAATTGTATGCTTCAGAGAAGAGCCAAACAATTTAGTCAGCTTTTCTCATAGCCTGTAAAATGGCTGTGTAATGGTACTAAAATGAAACAGTTTAAAACTGATTATTAACAAGATGTTGAAGATGTTGAAAAAGCATGTGATTTGTGCATCTTCCTGACCTGGTTTTTATTGAAAATGAAAGGTTTAATGAGATGTACAAATAATTAGGTATTTGAGTGGCTATTATTTGTAGTTACATCAGAGAAGAAAACAGCATTATAGGCTACTATTAACTGGTAATAGTACTGGGTAAAAATTTCTTCCTATTGGAAGTTATTTCATTCTACTGCTCATGTAGCTCTTTACGCAGAATTTCCATCACCTCTTGAAGGATCTGATGATAGGCACTGCTGAAATTGAACTAAGTGTGAAAATGTTTACTGAGGTGTTGCCAAAGGGTAGTCTTTACCCAGATAAGGTGTATGACCATCCCTGTATTAAGGCCTGTCAAGCCAAATCCATGCCGAAGTCATTCAACCTTGTATAAAATTTTAAATGACATCTAGTGTCAAAATTGTGATATCTTGCATTTACACTGAAAAATAGCTTCAACAAATGTGCATGTTACATCCGAGTTACTTTTGGGGCTTCTTTGGAAAGCATGGATGAGGAACAGAATATCTGAATTCGGTCCTCTTCAGATATGGTACTTTAATTGTTTTACAGAATCACTCGGTTGGAAGAGACCTTCAAGATCATCGAGTCCAGCCGAGCCCTAACACCTCAACTAAACCATGACATCCAGTCTTTTTTAAACCTATCCAGGGATTGTGACTTCACCACCTCCCTGGGCAGAGAATTCCAATACTTGATCACTCAAAAAAACCCCTTTTTCCTAATATCCAAATTTCCCTCGGCACTGCTTAAGACTGTGTTCACTTAATTTATGCAGAACTTTGCCCTCCCTCAACATTTAGTTTTTGGTAAATTTTCATGGTTCCTTGACTTTTTCTACTGCTTGCAGACAGCAGTTACATTAGTTATCGTGGTGTTGTGCTCAAGGACTATATACCTAGTCTAGATCGTACACTTTTTTCCCCTCCATGTAATTGATGCCTTCAGTTCTTGTCCATGAATCGTGGTCCTCAACTGTTGGTTGTCAGAATTAGTGTGCACAACATTAAAATATTGTGTGTTAATAATTCGCTTGTTCTTCTTTGGAACAGGCAGGCAGCTTGACCAAACAAAATTCAACATCTACTGGAGGTAATTTGTCATTTTCTTTTTCGAGTAATGAGTCCAGGATTTCATCTTGGCTACAGTCTTCTGAAGACATGGAAAAATGCTCAAGAGGTAATGATATTTGAAGAAAGTTGAAGGTAGCCTAATATTAAATAGCTTAGTTTCTCTTAACAATGAGATTATTATACACTAAGTAGTTATTACTGCTAGAATTTTCTCTGCAACTGAAGGGAAGGAAAGAGGTGGTTGTTGGTTAAGTGGTTACTCACTTGTTTTTAAAAGAACTGGTAATTTTGGATGTGGGGGTATCAGTTGTGGGCAGCTCTTCAAGGAACCAATGCATTTCAGTACATTTTCTTTTATATGGGAACATCACAATCCCATATAAAGTAAGATTTGAATGTCCTTAGACTGGAAAAAGGGAAGCATCCAAAACCTAATAACTTAAAAAGCACAAAGTCTTTGTACTTCAAAGTCACCTTCTGCTTTCATGCTTTCCTAAGAGCATGAAGATCTTCCTCATGTTGGCGGTGTCTATGTGCTATTTATTTGTTAAATTTCTACCTACCAGTGAGCTTCATCTCTAGTGCAGAGGTGCCTCACCTCTAGGTCTGAATGCACAATTCAGTGTTGATGCCTGTGGCATTGTCACCCTCACCATGAGGAGCTCTGACAAATCTCAAACTGTAGAAATTATCACATTATTCTCATTTTTCTGCATACAGTTAGGGGAAGATACCATGATCATTAAACACAACATATATAGATGCTTTTCAGTATTTTGAATTTGAACTTGACTATAGGATACAATCATTTTACCCAGCAGTCTAAGTCCTTTAGTTAATGAATAACTTAAGCTAGCTGCAGTCAAAATAGGACTAACCTACAAAGAAAACTGTCAGTGTCTCTGCTACTTTAGGGCAACTGAAAATACTCTGTTATTCCAAACAGACCTCTCCAACTGTCACGCATATTTACTGGAAATGAATCAGCTGTTACAGAGCATGGATGTTCTTCACAGGACATATTCAGCTCCTGCTATAAATGCTATGCAGGTTTGTTGTTTCAAAACAAAACCTAAAGCTCTTTTCCCTTACAATTCCAAAAAATAACCCCAAATCCTCAAGAATCGAGGTGTTTCTTAGTGTTGTTAGATTTATGGCAGCCTCTATTGTTTTTCTCCTGTGTGTTGTTAAAAGGTTGGACCTTTTGAAAGCCCAAAGAAGGAAAAGAGAACACACAGGAGGTGGCGATCCAGAGTTGTTGGGAAAGAGGCTAAAGGAATGTTACAGGTAATTTCAGTCCTTTCAGAGCCCATCTTCCTCCAAACCTTAGTTATTGATCACTTCTTGGCATGACCAGTTAAAGAAATATGAATCCTTTTTAAGCAGAGTCCTATATTAGCTCATATTAAGTGGTAATATATCAGACAAAAATCTGCAATAGAATCTGTCCTGTTATCTTCAGGACACTGGCCATGTTTTTCACCCATTTTCAGTTTTCTCTAATTTGTTGGGTTGTTTTGAGTTTTTTTACGAGTGCTTATTTTTGCAAAATCCCTAGATAGTTTTGTGCACATTTGCATCAAGAGGCCATGTGATTAGATACTTATAAGTGGGGGGGAAATAACCTAGCATATTTAACAGCTCTCAATGGACTTGTTTTTCTGAATTTGGCAATCTCCCATTATGGCACTTTGGGCAAAGTTATATCTCTGGTTTCATTTGCCAGGTGCCGTCCATTCAAAGCTTGTTGATAATTGACAGTAATTTTTTTCATTTTTTGGTGCCTACAACATAGAATCCAGGTGGGTACAATAAAACAAAATTTTCTTTACAGTTTATAAAAACATCACAAATTACTATCCTACTTACAGGTGCCTTCAGTATTTTCTGCCCCTATGAGACTGCATGCTTCCAATCCAAACTTATCTACAATAGATTTTGTAGAGGAGAAAAATTACTCTGATGGCTCTGAAACATCATCAGAATTTACTAAAATGCAAGAGGACTTATTTCACATTGCACATAAAGGTAAATGAAATTGTCTTTTATAAATGGTTTTATATCATTCCAGTTTAGATAATGATATGGCTTTTGAGAATTCTTCCTGTTTATTGTTTAGAAAATGCAGTAATCACCCTTCGTTTAATTTCCCTGAGGAATTGCAAGTGTTGATCTTGTGATCAAGTGAGATCTCAAGTCATTTGAAAAAGTTGGCTTAATCACCACTTTTTAGGGTTTTTATTTAATAGAGAACTATGCCTTGTTTTATGTGCTAAAAGCCTAGATTGCTTTATTTGTTGCCAAAAGGTAAAATACCTAAAATCTGTTGCTAGAAATACAGCAGACTCTACTCTCTTGTGTTTGCACGCGTATTTGTGCATATGGGCACATTTCTGTTTCTATATTCTGTGTGCTTCACAGTAGTTCAGAGTCAACATTTGTTGGTGATGCAAGGGTTGCTATGGTAGTAACCTATTTTTAGTGAATACAGAAGAGTAAATCATGCAAAGCAGCCAGAGGGGGAGCTTGACTAGAAATATTTCTTCCCTCAAAATCATTTTTCATTAGCAGTGCTTTGTTCCATCACCCTCGCACCAGAAACATTTTTATTGTTTAAGTGATCTTGGTGAGGGAGGCACTTAAGCATTTATAGCTGAAAGGCTTTTGGGAGTGTAGGCTTTGTCCCCTTTGGCACACAATATTGGTTGATGGTATCAATAAGCATTCTTTGCTTGCTGCTCCCCTTTGGTGTCGATGTATCTTGATTCTGTTATGTAAGGAATGTATGTAAGTAGTAAACTTCATAAAGCCAATTATAGTCAAAACTGACGTATGTTTTCCAAAAGAAGGAAAGAAGTGAGGGTGGGATGCGGTTGGAGAAGTTGCTGTTAAGCAAAGCAAAGAAATTATCTACTCAAGATCATCTTACTGGAATTGTCCATTATGGAAATTTTTGTTAGATCGATCCACACATTTGAAGGGACAATTTACTTTGTTCTATTGGCTGTAGAATCATTTTACTAAAAGGGTAAAAAATTTTTTAGTACTTTAGAACTTTTTTTCTGTAAAGTTTCTTCATAGCACACCCCTTCCAAGAAAGAGTAGTGGAAAAAACTTGTGCCACCTTTTTGGTACAAATTGAATAAAATGTAGCATTAGTAGTTTAGTAGGTAATAATTCTTGAAATTAAGTATACAACATATTAAATGTTGCTGAAGGTCACTGAAAATTCTGGTCATGTTATCTGCAAGTAAAAGAAAGCCTAACAGAATAGTTGGTATATTTCCCTCTCCACCCTGTGATACTGCTAAAGGTTTCTTTGGATAATATAAGATTTAGCTTTGGTAGTGGTTTGCACTGTTGGAATACATCTTAAAAATAATTTTTCACAAGACTAAACGAGGCTACATAACTACTTAGGGAAATGATGAAGATTGAGGTTGACTTGGAGTGGATGATCAGGAGAGAGAAGTATTGGGAATTTCTTATTGTTTGCCTTTTTCATGCATCCATGCTCAGATTTTCTATCATCATTTCCCTGTAAATGGATTCATTTTTCCATTGGCAAGTCTCATGACTGTATTACAGGGCTTGATTAGGTCCTCACAAGTCCCTTAATACTCCAGTCAGATGAATGCTGAAAACATAGACAAATACTGCTCAAATAAATTTTGATTCCTTGTGGTTAAAGAGAAGATGCAATGTCATAATGATGAAAAAAAATTCAAAAAGTGCCTTTCCTCTATAAAACCCCCTGTAGTGATTTTAAAATTGCATAATCTGTTGTCTATTTAAATGTATTGGGCTGGTGATAGTGCCTCAGGAAGGAGCAGAAGCAGCAGCATAACATGCACATCATTCAGGATCTGACCCTTTGAGTCACTGAATCTTCTAACAAGCTGAAATTTCGCTATCACAGAAAGAGATAACAAAACACAACGCCACATTTGACTTGCTTATGGGGAAACTACTAACCCTATAGCTGTGGCACAATAGCTGCCTTTTTTTATTTTTTTTTTTCCTATTTGATTTTTTTTTCTTTCATCTCTTTATCTCCCCACTGGAATTTATAGGGGAGTATGGAATACTGTCAGGACCATCTGAAGATTCAAGCTAATTGGGAAACAAAAGCAAGTGAAGAGCAGATGTGGTTAGTTAGCTTTGTTGCCATCTGTTACAAATAATCAGAGTAATTTTGACTGTGGCTAATATAGTCAAACTAGTAGCCTTCACCGTAAACACATTTCCTACAAAAAATCTACCCTAAAAGCTTGATTAATATTACTTGTTTTTGGTAACCCACTCTGGATCTCTCAACCTGAGTTCTTGTTTCTGTCACTGTAAATGATGCTTTATTGGAGTTTTATGTAATTGGTGTGTATACAATTGGTAGCAGCTCTTTTTAACTGACACTTTTTGTGAAATGGTTCTAGTTTACTTCACCTTGAGGTCAGCTTTCAGCTCCATATCCACAGAGAGAGAAAAGCTGAAGCAGATGCTGGAGTACGATGCATCCTCATCTCCATCTGCACAAATAGTGGGCTTGAAGAATGCCTTAACATCTGTAAGTGACATGCTGAAGCTCACCAAGCTTCATTGTCATCAGATACTACATTTAAATTTTAGAGTAGTTAATTTCTCTTTCTTTAGTGTCAGCTGTGTGCTTAAAATTTGCAGCATTTAATCATAGTAAGTTATTATAGATAACATTTTTCAAAGAATTTGCTAAATGTTAAAGGTATTGTCAAATCATTGTAGTTTGATGGATTGATTTAGGTATGTAGTCTAATCTGTATCATTTGAGATTAAGAATCAGAGGAATGCTGTATGAGTCTGCTTTCTTTTGAACATGCTACTACTCACTTCTGATGGGTCGCAGGTTTCCTTTTCTTTTACCTAAACAGCACTCAAATCCTCACTCTGTGACTTGGCATAAAATAAAGGTCAGAGTGGCTGAATGCACTCAGCTGCCCCTTCTAATGTACTAGAGCTTCACCATGCTGTACCAAGACACTGCAGAGCAAATTCAAGTACAACTTGTTTATATTGGCTTCCAAGCTCAATTATCTCTCGGTCCTCTAAAAGCAGCAATGGAGCTGTTAGGGCAGAGTTCTAAATGACAAAAGATTGTGCTCTTTAAAAAAGTGGGGGTTTGGTTGATGTGCTTTATGTAATTGGTCGAGACCAGAGCTTTTCAGCTTGGTCATGTTTAAAAACATCAACCAAACTGATCTGATCCCAGAGCAATGAGGGCATTCATTACCCTGGCCTTAAAATTTCAGTGTTTATTGCAAACACCACATCAGAGGCAGGGGAGACTCTCTGGCATGGATCAACGTGATGTCGATCATCTAAGAATTATTTCAGTATGAAAACTTCCCTTTGCTTTATAAAAGCTGCATGTGATTATAGTTTTTAAGCATATGACATGTCTCTTTGCCTGGGCCTACAGAGGCTGTGATGTCTCCACAGTATTTAGAGAAAGCTGAAGCCTGTTGCATAACTGTACTCGTTCACTTGCACTTCTTTGTTTATGGCTTTCAGATGTTCTACTTCTGATATTTGAATAGGTGACTTATTTTTCCAGTGTTATTTGTCTACCATGTTCTAACAGAAAATCACTGCTAAGATTGCTGAACTCAGTGAACAGTCAGCTTAGCATGAATTATTTTGTTTTCTGGGCAGTGGAATTTGGTTGTCCATCTTCGTCCTGTAAATGTCCTTTAAAAATCATTCCTTTAGGTCTTACCTTATACTTAATTAGTCTTGTAGCCCATCCAGAAATCAGCTGTGAACCTTGGCTTTTTCAGCAAGGTAATCACTTGTGAGGGCTCTTCTTAATCTGCAGATCTATAATGTCATGATGCCAGCAGAAATTTTCTCACCCCATACAGCAGAGATCCTCTAGGAGAATGGAATGAGCTTCCTTTGAATAAATTTGGAGGCATAGATATGATAAACTTGACATTTTTTAGACTTCCTTGAAAGAGTGAGTCTTGTGTTATTGACTTTGGCTTAGTGTTTGTTGTTGTTCATTTTAGTTTGTTTTCTGTACAGGAGGAGCAAAAAAAATCACACACAGGTTGAAAGCTACCAAACACAAGTCTGTTTTGCTCCCATCAACCTGGCAGTGGAGGAAAAATGAACAGATTTCAAGTGGATAAACCACCACAAAACTAGCATATCTGTCTCTGCTTCTCTCTCATTAAGATAGTATCCTTGACCTACACACATTCTAAGAAAAGAAAATACGGAATGGGAAATGATACAATATTTCTGGTTTTGGGGGAGGAAGAAGAAAACATTTTGTAGCAAATAATTGAAATGGGAAGATGCTATTATAGGAGAGCTATTTTGCACTTGCCTGATGAGGATTTAACACAGTGCTGAGCATTTGACACAGTAGGGATATATATACCTTTATGGCAAATTCAGACCACATATAGGTAAAGCCAGAAATAAGTTTTCTTCCCTCCATCATCACATTGAGCTTCCTGTCTTTCTTGCACCCAAGAAAATTTTCAACACAAATTACTGGCAAAAGCAGAAGCATTTGTGTGATAAAGCGGATGTGTAAACAACAGGGCTCTCCACGTCCTAGTATTGATCCAGATCACTAAAACAAGATGTAAGTCTTCAATATTGTTACAAAATTAGTAACACCATCTTTTATTTCAGAGACATTTTCATTCCAGGGTTAGGCTTCTTCCTACAAGTCTACAGTAATTGGCATCTGTCTGCCAGATGCACCCAGAATAAGTAAACAACATGTAATAAACATGCATTTGCAGTAGAGGCTGTTTATTCTGACTACTGCCACTATAACCTGATAGGACATAAATTGTACCTGTTACCTGTGTGAATTTGTCTTCTTTCTCTGTCATTGGAAGGCAAAGGAAACTGCCAGTATGGAAAAATCAAATGTTTTTGGATGTGTCAAGAACTACTGTTGAGAGAGGCTATGTTGGAGATGGGGGTGAAGGAAGGGAGCTTGAAAAGAAAAATATCCCTGCCATCTTTAACTTTTTCCTCCACTTATGTCTCTGTTTCCTCATACTGAAAAAAACGCAGTTTTAATTTGAGAGATATGGAGTAAGGTTTGAAGCATTTATAATAAATTATTTGCTGAACCAGTAAAAAAATTATGTGGTGGTGGTGTTTTATACTGCACTTTAAATAGTCTTTGCCCCTTTTTATGCAATAAAGCCACGTTCGAATTAGTTGAGAGAACTTTATATCCCCAATATTTTTGTTAAATATTCCAGGCAATAGCACAAAACACAGATCTTAAAGACCGGTTACGCAGAATACATGCCGAATCTAAGATCATTGATTCAGCATCTAATGCAAAATCGAGCCCAGATTTGGTGAAGGTGGGTATGGATTTCCTCTTTCAGTGATGTCCGTTCCTCCAGCCCCTACATCTAGACAGTGCTGCATAGCTGCCTCTCGTCCTGTTCTCCGTGTCTCCCCTGTGGTGTGGTGTGGTAGCAAAGCCAGTCTGCTTTCCTGGTTGTGAGTCATTTATGATGATGCATTGTGTGATATTTGACTTCAAAGACTTTCCTTGTGAGCAGGTTTCCCAAGCACATCTTCCATTGCTTTTTGCTACTGGTTCCTGGCGTTCTCCCTCGCCTCCTGCCTGCTTCTCGTTCAGCATGTACAGAGCTGCCACCTCATCACCCTGTGCCTGTTTCTCTTGCTCTTTTTGTCCCTTGTTAAGTTCTGCAGATCTTTTGTCGCCCATCTAAGTGCTCCTAGGCCAGAATGTTGGCTACCAGTGTGGATCCTGTAAGGTTTAGAGCAATTATCTGACATTTCCATGAAAGGCTCAAAGTTAATGGGACATACAAGAGCCCTTTTAGTCTTCTTTGTGTGAAGCCAGGGAGCTTTCTGTATCCAGTTTGCCAGTTTGAGATTCCTCTGATGTTCAGACAGGTTTTTGGCCTGCTGCAGAATGCTTGTGAATCTGGTGTAATTATAGGTCATAAGATGTAGGTGTTAATGGTGTTAGTGAGGGGAAGCCAGAACCGTGTTATTTCTGATGGATTTTCCTAAATGTTAACTCATAGAGAAACCTCTGCTGTGCTTGTAGTATAAATCTTTCATTAGAACTTGAGTGGATGTAATGCTGGGGCTTTTATGTAACTAATTATTTCCTTTTTTTTTCTTGTTAAGACAGTTTAGTCATTCCAGAACAGATTCCATCTGTTCACTTCTGGTTCAGTTCTGTTTTAGTGGAGCTGTGTTTTGGTCATATTTAGCTGTTCAGTTTGGCTTTTTTTTTTCCTTTAGGTAGTTGATCATTCTAATGCCTTTTGCTTTAAAACCCACAAGAATTTGAACAGTATTTAAACTGCTATCCAGAAAAGCATTCATGCATTGTTAGTTTCAGGAGTTATTTTCCTTTTTGTGGAGGTCCTTGCAATGACAGTGGGTTATTTCTGAAACTTGTGCTATGTGCTATACACACACAAAGAGACACACATGACAAAAATAGCTTTCAGAAGGTCCTTTGGAGGTTGCATTCACAAATTCCCTCTGGCATGGCTTGGGATGAAGGATGAAATCACTTATACCGGAGATGCTTCATTTCAGGATTGTCTGAGGACTGTGATACAGCAGTGCTGCTTTGAGGAAGAAAGGGCTGCTGCACAAAGCTTGTCACCAAATGATACATTGGGTGCTGTGATACACCTGTGAAAGTTGAAGCAGTATAAAATAGTATCCCAGTCTGTTGGGTAATTTAATTGTATTTCATCATGCCAAAGCGGGAATATGGAACAAGACAACCTGAGGCTTATGTGTTAGGTATAAAAAACCTGGTGCTCTTTTATGAGTCTTTCCTGCCTCACTTTCCTTCTTGGATTCAAAACAATACTGGAAACAATCCCAGTAGCAACACTTATGTGTGTAAGGTATTTTTTTTTCACTTGTAGGCTGGTGTAACTGCCTTCCTACAGGAGGGACAAGTTTGAGGTTCTCTTTTATCCCTGCTGTACAAGGAGGGGTTTTTCAAGTCTTTTGTATAGCAGTTTGTTTTGTTTCCATGTCAGCACTACCAGCATGTACCATATAACATTCCAAACAATAGCAAAACTTACCAACAGAAAAGCTTTCAAAGGTTTGTCAGCTTGACTGGGGGCTTGTCAGGCTGTTCGCTATGTTGTTCTGAAAATAAAATACTACAATTCCTGAAAAATTATGATATGGGAGTCATGGTTATAAGCTAGTAAAGCACCTCATGTAGAAAATCTTGAGAGCAGCAAATACACTCATTTGGGCCAGCATAGCTCATTTCCTTTGTGTTTGTGGAGTTATCAGGGAAAACAGTAGCACATAAGCTTCTCCAACTTCTGCACTGCCACCACAGAATGAGAAGTCTCACTGGTCACCCCACCTCTGCCAGGCCACCTTTTGGAGCTCTGCTTACACCAGTCATCTGCAGAGCTTCTGTGGAAGGGGCTATCAAGATCTCTGTGGCCAGCCAAATGTGCCTCCAGCAGCAAAAGCAATTCTGGTTACATGGCTTTAATAATATGCTGGTTTGGGGTAACATGGAGATATCTTAGGTGTGGATATGAAGGAATGGTTTCCAAAGTGCAGCATAGAAAATCAGTGAAGAAAAAGAGCTAGGAAAACATACTGTTATAAAGAAAGCAACTTTACCTCTCTGAATTTTGTAGACTGCTCTATGGAACAATCAGGAAGGAATGTGAGTCTAGTATGTGATATAAAGAGATGGGAGTTTTGTTCTTTTGTGGGCATTTTGATGATACGCTTGGGTATATCTGGCTAAATCATTCAAATAGCAAAGCTTTCTTATATGCAGCACCTTAGGTGATTTATTCAATATGCACTGCTTTATTTTCCTTCTTTTTCCTTCTCTTTGGTCTGTTTTACTTTGTTTTTAAATCCCACTTCAAAACACATGCTATCTTTCACGCAAATTGAAGAGGAGCATGTGCAATCTTCTCCCAGTGTTTTACAGCCCTTCAAGTTAGGAAACTGGAATTGCATGCATGAATGTTGTTTGTGGTACTTCCTGGCTCAAAACTTTTTTTCTTTTAAACAGGAAAATTCAAGAGAAGAAGGCAGAGGTCTGGTTCACCAGGTCTCCAATGAAAGCAGACTGTCTATTGCTGACTCTCTCACAGAATTTTTTGATGCACAGGAAGTCCTACTGTCTGCTAGTTCTTCAGAAAATGAGGTATGAGCAAGAAGATTGACATCATTCAGATGTATTTTCTTATCTTCTTATTGACATGCAATCTTTCTGAGTGCTAACTGTATATCAGACCACTGCCAGGAAATTTAAATTTTCAAAACATTTAGAAATTAATATGCCATTTATATTTATTTGTTGTCATTGTCTCTTCACTGTAAAGGGTAGCAATTATTGTGAAGAAGTCTTATATACACAGTGAGGGAGATGGCAATTAAGTAGCTCACATGCAGATACTGCAGACATTGCAGTCTGCCTTGAGACATTATACAGGTGAACTGCATCACAAAAATACTTACTCGTATCTGTCCTTGTGGTACTTGTAGGTACCTTGAGGCTGATGTCATGCATATTGAAATTTATTAGAGCATTGTTTCCTCTCTTGGGTGCCATAAAAACCTTGGCTTTTGGTATAAGGAAAGCCTTCTTAGTTGTGAAGCCAAGGAGAGGAAGCATGTCTCCACTCAAGTTAAAATTTCCATTATAGCAATCTTTCCCAAACTCAATTCTGTCTTCTTAGGACTTTACAGTACTTTTCTATAGTACTGAAACACAGCTTATATGGTTCAATTATATAAAACAATAATTGTAGGTGAAAGTAATGATTTTTCACATGCATTTGGAGTTACTTTAATGAGTGATGCATCTTGCTTTTTTGCCCACCTCACACTCAGGTATCAGATGATGACTCATACGTAAGTGACATCAGTGATAATGTCTCAGAAGATAACCTAAGCAATGACATGGAGAATGAAAGACAAACTTTAGGTATGTACAGTGGATTTTTTAAGCCATGTTTTGAGAATTTTGTTTCTCTTGGTTTGGGATATTTTTTTCTTCTCCTACTAGATAATTAGATATTATAGGTTTTGAGGTGTAAAAAGCCCATGTTTTTTCTCATATAGACTCAGATTGGTCTGGAACAGCCAATTCTGGCTAATCTGCTTATCTGGGCACTGTTGATTAAGCAGGATGCTGGTTCTGTATCAGCAGGGACATGCCTCCTTTCTTGGCTTCTTTCATGCAACTCCCACTCCTCTCAGTTTCTCATGGCCACAGGATTTTTTTCAAAGTAGTAAGGCCCAGCTGCTTTCATTTTTCCAAAAAGTTATTCTTTAAGGCCCAGCTGCTTTCATTTTTCCAAAAAGTTATTCTTTTCTTTCACACTGCTTTTTCAGCCTGCAATTTAGCAACTGCATTTGGAAGTTCTGTTGTTTTAGCAGAACTCAGTGTTTAAAGGAACATGAGAATAATTACTCCCTGGCAGCTCTGGTGCATGGCTATATGAATTTCCTTCTTACATGCATAAATCATGATAGTCTTGTTAGTACATATGCTCATTTGTGCTTCTAATGGAAAGAGACTCAGGAAAAGGAGAAGAATTGTCATTACAACTTAATTTGCCTTGTGCCTTCAGCTTATTTCAGCTAACCACAATGTTCTTCCCAGTCTAACAATATATTTTTATTTTCAAAAATGCTGAACAGTGATTTCTTATTAGCAGCTGTTTCCTGATCATCTCCAAGGACAGCAGATTCCTATGAACTTGGGTAGTTTGATATGTATTTTGTAAATGTTCAAAATGAAGGATTTTTAATTTTTTTCCTTTAAGATTAAAAAAACCACAAATTAATTTATCTCATGATCTTGGACCTTAGAAGGCTGTATTAATGCTGGCAGTTCATCTTTTTCTAACAAACACTGTCACTGAAGCTCCTCAGTATAAGAAGCACCTCTGCATGCTTCTGGTACCTGCTATTTCCGTGCTTTGGGCAGCCTGCCACTGCCATTAATAGAAAACTGGATGTCTTTTTTCCTACAGGGCTTTAGCTGCACCATAAATTGTGGGATTGTGACAAAATCCTCTGGCTACTGTAATGTAGAAGGTCAGATCAGATGTTGATAATGGTCCAGTTTGACCTTGAAAGTCATTGACTCTAACTGGAGGTCAGATGGCTAAAACTCCTTCAGCATTCATCTTGTCTGTCACAGCTCTTAGAAACTAGAATTGCCTGGGTCTTTCTGTAATGGAGTCTAGGCAAACTTCATTGCTTAGAAAACTTGGCATCTTAGTATTGAAGTTCTTGCCGTACTCTGGTCTTCTCAGCAGCTTACCTCAGTTAGTGGACTGGTCCAGAATATGTAAATAGATCAGTTGGTATTCTACTTGTAATTAGAAGCTGTCAAAAGACATAGCCAAATCCCATTTCTGGGAGCTCTTTTAAACAAGGGTAAGTTTTTAGCATTTATCTCATTCCTGAGGTATCTAAGGGAACATCCTTCTTTTTGGCCTGTTCCAATATTAAATTAATTCTTCCAATAGGGAAGTATAGAAGTCAGCTCCTTAACTCTCAACAGTATAATTGTTTCAGGTAGATTTTTTGACTCATAGTGCCCATGCCATTTTTAAGCAAAAAGAGAGACAGAGGCAAGGGACTGCAAATAGTTCACCTGACCTTGTTAGAGTAACTCAGACACATGAGGTATTAGGACTTCTGGTTTGCCAGTGGCAGGAAAGGTGGAAACTCCTTCCTCAAAATTCTGAGGCTACTGATTACCCTTTAAAAGCTCCATGTGAGGCATGGGCTGGGAGGCATAGCAGGAATGGAGAAGTTTGTCCTTGTGGTCACCTGTCACTGCTGTAAGCACTGCTGATACTGTGCTTTTGTCAGTGGCAGGGAAGAGGAGGTACTGGCTAGGTGCATTTAAGGGCAGGGATTCTTCAGGCATGTGTAGCACAGAAAGAGATGTGCTGCCCAGTGTGGGTTTAATTTCTTCAAGACAGAACTGTGTGAGGAAAGCCAGAAAAGGACTGGGGTTGACAGACTGAGGCTATGCCTGAATGTCTCCAAATAGTAACTGATCCTAAGGCAGGAGCTTCCTAGGTGCTCCTGAGGATGTGGAAAGATAAAATATGTTCTTTAGTGGCAAACACATTCCTCTCTGAAACAAGAGTGATGTATAGCTAAGCAATATAATCACTTCAGAGTAGTGCCTGTTGCAGAAGCTTGTAGCTCTATTTGGATTTTGCTACAAATCCTGTCGTGGCACACTTAGAACTATTTATCCTGTTCTGATTGCTTTGATATAGCAACACAGACTTCAGATATTCATGTCAAGGGCTCTTGACTTGAGTCTTTTTATTTTTATCTTTTTTTTTTATCTTCAGCAAACCCATAGCTCTACTGTTGCTTCAGCTTTTCCATCCTTAAACCACGTCAGTTCTCCATCAGTGTAGGGGCGTATCTCAAAGTAACATTACTAAGTTTAAATGCTATGGGGAACAACATGGAAAAGCCTGTATGTTAATTCATGGTACAGTAAATTTTCCTGGTAGGAGTATGCAAAAAAGTAGGAAAAGATCAGTAGGAGTAGTTATTATCCTTGCATCTGTAAATTACATCTCGCCTTCTGAGAAGTGTCAACTTAATTGAAGCTCTGTCAAGGAAGGAGGTTTTATGTCCCCTAAACGGATAGGAATCCATCTCTGTTACAAATAAAATAGTTATAATATTTACTCTCTCAAACTCAGTGGAAAGTCTGAGCCTTTCCTTCCAGACTTTAAGGGAAAAGAAGGTAATTTTTTTGCATCTCTTGTACTTGGCATTTTTTTTCTGTTAATGTACATAAAATGCTCTTCTTAATTTTGTCATTTTTATAACAGGCTATTTTGAAACCACAAGTGAAATACTTAGATGAATCGTGGGTGGAAGGAAGTTTTGACAGAAGAAAAGATGGTTGCATTTTAATGTATGTTTGCAAAGGGGATGGAACTAAGAAAATGTGGATTTAATTGTTCTGCCACTTCCTTCCTTTTCAGATTGTATTTCTGAAAGCGGAATTGGATGCAATTCTAAACGGAGAACATGTTTACCAGCTCCATGTCCTAACACAAGTAACATCAGCCTTTGGAATATCCTGAGGAATAACATAGGAAAGGATCTCTCCAAAGTGGCCATGCCTGTTGAGTTGAATGAGCCACTAAACACCCTGCAGCGCCTCTGCGAGGAGCTGGAGTACAGCGAGCTCCTGGATAAAGCAGCGCACACACCAAACCCCTTCGAGCGGATGGTAAATACCTTATTCCAAATAATTGGGAGCATTCAATAGAATAAACATAGAAGCCATGCTGAAGAAATGAAGTTGTTCTATTCCACTGTTTTGTTTCTCTCAGCTGAGAGACAAACTCTCCAAATGTGTCTGTACATACTCACATAGCCACTATTTATGACTCTTCTGCTTCATTTCTGTTGCTTTTCAGAAAGTCTCTCCTCAAGTACCTTGCTGTTCTGCAAGTTTAAACAAAAAGGGAGCTTAGTTCTGTTTTGCAGCTCTTGCTCTCTAAAGCAAAAAGGGAGGAGGGGATTGAACTTAGTTCCCTCTCAAAGATGAAAGCTACAATAGATATTTTTCAAGGGTGTCTGATCTGGTAACACATTTATTCATAGAGATCCTGGATCTTCCAGCCCTACATGACTGTGATATCTCTATATTAACTAAATGAACTCCATGCTTTTTATTAACTGGCTTTCAGAAGTTTTTGTGTTTATCCAAGATGTTCAAGATCTCAAAACCAGGCTGCATGTTTATTTGGGTACAATAATGTCATCCTCTGCTAGTGCAGAACCCTGAATTCTGCATTTGGCAAAAGAACAAGAGAGAAATGCATTTCAGTTGTTCTACTTCCAGGTGTACAAGAGCTACTTAATATGAAGGCCCATAAAAAAAAGGATTAGAAGCTTCCTAAATTCTCTTCCTAAATTCTCTTAAATGGAAGATACAGATTTTCCCATAAACTGAATTAAGCCTTTTCAACTCAATATATCTTATCTCAAAATAAGGTTATTAATGTGAGTAGGTAGTCATGTTGGAAATACTGCTTGAAAAGTCTCTCTCCTCATTCTGACACTTTCAAGGGTTACAATTTAGGGCCTATTCCCAGGGTGTGGTCATTCACTGGGGGTTTCAGTCCATAGCTTTTTTTGTTCTTTCGAGAACATATGCTAAAAGGAAAAGGAAATGAGCAGTAGTTGTTCAACAGGGAGGGAAAAGAAGCCTTTTCCCTCCTCCCCACACCCAAACATCTGGAAATTACCTCAGTCTGGTGTATTCTTTGCCTTTGAGAAATTCCTGAAGCAAAATTTAATACTAACTGTTGCATAGTAATTGTAATAGTTCATAAAAGAGCCTATCTTCAGTGCATTTGTTTTCTGAAACTGTGAAAAGAGAGTATCTACACTTTCACAAGATGAGAAAAAGGGAATGAAAAGAGGAAAAAAGTGTTACAAAAGAGACTTGTATTAAACAACTCTGAATGTTAATTCCTCACATTATGCTTGAGGTGACTAGAAAAATTCAGAAGGGCTACCTGTGTGTCAGTCATAATCAACAGTTTTATGATTAGGTATTATGTGAAATTTAACAGTGGCTTTTAAGGTTACTTCTTTGAACTGTGTTGAAGAATGCTAAACTGTTTCAAACACTTTTCAGAAATGCTCTTTTCAGCTGGTGAAATTTGTAGTATCTGACCCTAATAATTCTATCCCTGACCTATTGAATGACTCTGAAAATTGAATAGTCCTCTAATGTGAGAACTAGGGCTTAGCTTGCAGGAGGCATGCATGTTTGTAGTCTGAAAATGAAGGGGAAAATACAGAATCAGGATAAAGCTTGATTTTATTTTTTTGTGTCTGTTGAAAATTAATTAACCTAAGTCCCAAATATGTACTTCCCAGGTGTACATAGCTGCCTTTGCAGTCTCTGCCTATGCATCCAGTTACTACCGAGCTGGAAGTAAGCCATTTAATCCTGTGCTTGGAGAAACCTATGAATGTATTCGTGAAGATAAGGGTTTCCAGTTCTTTGCAGAACAGGTATTGTATGCTGCAACCCTTAGAATTGCTACTCGATACGCTGCTGAATTCTAAATGTGTGGCTGGAATCCTCTAGAATTAATGGCAAAATACAAGATTATTTAACATTACCTGAGCCCAAGGGACCTTGCTGAATTACAAACAAAGGGAATTTTTTTTTTATTTTGAGGAAGTCTGCTAAGTCTGGCATGGAGCATCACGAGCAGCAGCTGACACTCGAGGAGCAAAGGCTGGCAAGCTGCCTGCTCCAGTAACAAGATAACTTGGTTAAGTATAGTGCAATTCCCCATGCTGAAATCTGATCACAACCGCAACAAAAGTTTACATTCATGGCATTTTCTTTTGTGTGTGATCATTAAAAATACTGTATCTTCAGCTGTTTAATGCCTTCTTTTATAACAAATGTATCCCTTGTGTGAGTCAATCAACCTCTAGTATTTCCAATGGCACCATGACTATTTCTGCTTCCTGTCCAAATACACAGTAGACTTAGTCTTTCAAATCTGCTACTACAGCTGAATTGGTGAAGGATGTATACAGCACATCATGGTCTGAGTGTTTATGAAGATTATTCCCCAGTAGGAGAATAATTATTAAGTATGGGTGGAAAATACTAAATTTAAACCAGCCAAGCTACCAAAATCACTAAACTTGAAGTGTATGTTAAAAAGAGACAAAACTCAAATACCTGCTGCCTGGCAAAGTGAAAATGACTGAGAGCCGTCTTATTCTGTCTAGACATAACAAAAAATACAAAAAGTGCAAGTGGGCAAAGGTGTGCAACCTAGAAATTTGATTGGAGAAAGACTTCTAAGAGGCTTCCTTTAGGAAATGAAAAGTGCTTTTGACTGCCTGTGAAGGTACAACATTTTGCACGTCATGTTTCAGAACTGACAAAAAGGAATGTTATGTGATCTGTCCTTAATCTCAGGAAATGTCACAGGCAAGAGTAAAAATAAGAAGGGGAAAAAAAACCCAACAAAAAATAGTGCAGTCAAAGCAAGAATCAAATGTAAAGTTCATTGTGCTACTTCAGTACTAAGATGATGTGTACAGAGCACTGCAAGTACCAGCACAACATCAAATTTGAGTAACATAGTGGTGAATAAACTAACTACTAACTCAGTTAGTACTGAGTTTAATGTTACACTGAATTAAAGGAAGATATTTTCTCTTGAATATTGGGTAAACCAGTAAAAAGGCTAGTTTTTATAAAGAAGAATTTTACTAAATGAGCAGGATTGTGCTATTAACGACTGTTGTTCTAATACAAGAAATAATTGATGTGAGTTTTTAGAGTGGTAAAGTTACCATAAGGATATAGGGTGGAGAAATATTAGGAACAGAGGCAGTACAGGAGGAAAGAAATTTAATGCAGCTTGCAAGCATTAAATATTTCTCTTTACATCAGGAACAGTGCAGCTTGCACAAGCATTTTGATTCTTATTCCAGATACCTTGTTAGCACAGGGAGAATGGAATTCAGGGGATAGACTGATAGAAGATACAAAAGAACAAAGATTCTGTTCTATCAAGAGAGTGAGTTTAGGGTAACTCCTGTTAGCACCATGACCTTACTCTGGAATTATAACAGTTTAAGTGAGAGCTAAGTTTAACCCATGTATTACAGTGACATCTGGGGTTAATCTGGGTACAGTATGTAAGACAGTGTTGCTCTTGCTGGATTAGGCCATAGCTGAGAGTAATTAGTACTTTCATAATCTTTTTTCTTTTTTTTAAACCAAGTAGAAGGTGTTCAAGAAATAACTGGACGCCTGCAGGAAAAAAAATCCTCAGTAAGAGATCTGTGAAATGAGTAACAAAAAAAAAAAAAAAAAAGTTGATTTGAGCCATGGTTAAGAAATTACGTAGCGAAAAATAGCAATTTGACTTGAAAATAAAGTTGCCCAAGGAACAGCAGGCGTTACACATCTTAAGAGCTGGTCCTTGTCAGTTGTTAGTTATGTTCACATAGAAGGGAGAATTCAAGTTGAGGAGGAGTGGCTGCTTTCACTTTGTGCTTTTTTTGTTTACTGTCGCATTTTAATAGTCTGAATTGTTTGTTTGCTCACAGTCCTTGCTTTGCTAGTTTGGTGGTTGCCCTAATTCATGCACCTGCTATTGGCCAATGCTGATGAAATGCAGTGCATGTGGTTAGAGTTTCACACTAGAAACACCTGGGGTGTCACTGCTGTACTAGTAGGGATTGCTGGATGGAATTTCCTGGCTTGATTTCTTCACCCCTGGCCCACTTAGAGATGCTGATCATTATCTCCTCCCTCATACTCAGGGTTTTGTGGTTATTTACTGTACAGAAGCTTTTGGCCCTCTATTGTGTTTTTGGTTTTTTGTGTTTTTTGAGAATTTGTGTCACAAAGTGTGGTTTTTGCTAATCTGTTAAGAGTTCCTAAGGGTAAATTTAATTATCACCTTAGAGAAAATGTTCGAAGTATATAGCTAGATTTTCACTCAAACAAAATCTCAGGCCTTTTCAAATAAGTGTTTCCCATTTCTTTCAAGATTTCTTAGGTCTGAGAACCTTTATTAATCTCACTGCTTCCCCCTTCAGGACACAACTGCAAAGGGAAAATTAATGTTCAAATTGTAAATGCCATATGTGCATGAAGAAGAAAATAAAACAAAAGAAGCCAAACCAAAATGACTTTTCAAGTGTTCATATGTTAATCTTTTCTCCCCCTCTCCTTTCATGTCTTGCTCTTAGGTCAGTCACCACCCACCTATTTCTGCATGCCATGCTGAATCTGTGAATTTTGCTTTTTGGCAAGGTAACTCTTCAGTTTATCATTTACTTTTACAGTGTTCATAATGTTTTCATAGTTTGTCTAATGCAAAATATCCAGAAATTAGGAAAAGTTGAAATTCCTTGCCTAAATTTGTATTAGAATGGTTCTAAGGAATGCTAACCTATGCTGACTTGCATGCTTCTTACTTGGATCTTCTGCCGTTATAAAAATTCTCAAGATATTTTGCATTATTTGGATTTTTTCGTGTAACATCAGTTGATTATTATTTTCATGTACAAATATCTGCTCTTCTTTAAAATCAGGTTTGTTTGGGCTTTTTTGGGGGATGTTTTTCTTTAGTAAAGAAGAATTGTATGTCAAGCTATTTATAAAACAAACGAGCTCGAAGACAGCATGAAAAAACTACAAGTCCTGAACCTTGGCAAATCTTGTAAAACTGTTCTGAAAGCAATTTTCAAAAATTAGTGTAGCAGCAAGGATAAATACATTTACCTTTTCTTTCTCTGCTGGCATTATTACATTATGTACTGCTAGTGAAGGTGTCAGCCAGTTACAGTACCTGTGTGGCCAGATAATTTTGGAGTGTACACAAAACAACCATGTCTTTTAACTTAAAATCCTTCACCCAGGGGTTTGTCAAATCACAAGGTAGCCATACTGTAATATTTTTTTTTCTGACTGGCTCTGCTGACTTGATTATAGTTATCATAGATGGAGCCATACTGAACAGATATCGGAACCCATTAGTCTGGGTTTTATTATCCTCTGTAATTTTTTGCTTTGTAAAAAATACAGGGACACAAAAATCCTTTTCTTCATGGCTCAAAAGCTCAGGTGGCCAAAAATTTATTCCCTAACTTGAAAACTGTATAAATAAGATGATAGGAACCTTTCTTAATAAAAATAGATGAGATTGATTTGTTTAACAGATCTTGACAAGTGTTATCATTCAAATACTTTAACACTTCCTTTTAGAGAATGAAGTTCTTCTAATGAGAGCTGAGAATCTGATTAATATGAGAGATTTGGTCTTGATGAGCACAGCACACTCAATCAGGGTGCAGCAGGGCTTGGGGGTTTTTGTTTGCTTTGTTTTTAAATATGCTAGTTGAGCTTATGGGAGGGCTAGAAGGCAAGTTTTAAATGCTGCGACCTCTTGTAATGAGGCTATATTAACTTATGTGGAAAGGTTAACACAAATTTAATCATAAAGGCAGCTTGTCAGTGAGTTCAGTTCTTTCTGTGTGCAAAGACCTTTTCACTTACTGTGTCACCTTCTCAGCTGAAAAGGAGGCAGCAACATTGCCAGAGTAGTACTGTCATCCCATCAGACACTGACTTTAGTTCATGTGTTCCATCACCAAGAAATCTCCTGATCATGTCCAGTGACCTAGAAGACTGGGCTCTGACAGGGAATAATAGTTTGGAGATAGCGTTCCACGACTCATGAAGCTGACTCTGCTTTTGCAGAGTGTTGACACATGAGCAATGGAAATGAAGGAAGTTTCAGCTATTATAGCATCTGTGCCTGAATTAGTATGAGCATAGCTTTGAAATAACACTTTGCTTTTTCTTGTCTGTCCTAAAATTATTGTGTGATCAAGTTTCACCCTGGCTCCCCAGATGTTTCCCACATGCTGATCTCTGTGGGGCAGCTTTGCCAATTATGGGAGAATTTGGCACAATCTGGTAATGCATTTTAACTGTTAAACTCAGTGGGGTGCACCTTTGCCCTTTCTCTTCCATCCCACTGCAGAGGAGACAAAGCCAGGACAGAATTTCCCTCAACAACATCGTACTAGAAGTAGCTTTGGAGCACTTGTTGTGCAGTGTAGGCATCACAACAGAATCACTGTCACTGAAGAAGCTGACCCAGCACCAGACTTCAAAACCAAAAAACCCAAAATGTCCTTTTCTCATGTGATAAGAAAGGAACTTCTTTGCGTGCAGAATTCTGCCCTACATCCCATTCTGGTCTTTGCAATGATAGGCAGCTCAGTGTGGCTCACTCCTCACTTGCACATACGTACTCAGGAGGTACATGAGTAACCTCTTAGTTGTGGTTTGAGCATCCATCTCTCAAACAGGGTAAGAGTTTCCCCCCAGAATTGCACAGAAAATGGTGTTTTGTTTGCCTTCTCTTAGAACTAGCATCTTTTTGAGACAGGAGTTGAATTTTCCACTCTTTTTCAGGTGGGGTAGGGAATGGAGTTCCTAGAGTCTAAAATAGGAAGGATGCTGTTCTCCTGAGCTCTGAAGTTACTGTCTGATTATCTAACCCAGTTTAACTGTATACCCCTTTTGCCGTGCTCCTGTCTGTTTCCTTCTCTTCCAGGTGCTTTTGCTCAATAAATTTGGCTAAACTTGCATTAAGCTTCCTTATCTTTTTTCTATTCTTGAAGAAATGGCATGAGACTTGGACATGTCTTTCTGTGATTCAAACAAGATTTCAAAAGATCAGTTAAAACCCTCTGCCATTTTGTGCCTTTTGGAACCTTCTTTAGTCTCTTGACTGTGGATGTTCTTGTTTTATTTTTGTATTTGAAATTCTGTTTTTGTTTTTGAAAATGTGTGCATTCATTCACTAGCAACTGAACTGCGGACAAGTATGCGCTGTCTATGGCTTATTTAAATTTCTTTCTTTTGAAAAAGTTAAGACTGTTAAATATCTGTTACTTTGCTATTTAACCAAAATTACAGTGAAAATCAAATAAAGCAAACAGCAACAACAAACCCTCGAGCCAGTATTTGAATGTCCCACAACATTCTTTGAACACTTCTGTTGCACTTTGTTATTCTGAATTTCTTGAAAACAAAGTAGAGCCCAGAAACAGCCTGATTCACCTACCTGTGACTAAACCCATCTTTTTTTTACTTCTTGTTCCAGATGTCAGATGGAAAAACAAATTCTGGGGAAAGTCCATGGAAATTGTTCCAGTTGGCACGACACACGTAACTCTTCCAGCGTAAGTGCTGCCGTTGGGCATCGCTGTTCATGCACGGGCACAGATGTGCTTGCACACACTGGAGCCACACTCATTCAGAGCACAGCCAGCTCTGCTCTGCCCTTTGGAAGGACTGGTAGCTGTGGTTTAATTCAAAGAGAAAAGGGGAGGAAGAAAGACCTCACCAAACCAAACCCAGAAGCATCAATCAGAAGCACTTTCAAAGGTTATGAAAAATAAAGAGTGAAAAAAACCCCCATCACTCTTGTGTACCTTGAAAAAAGAAAAGTTGGTATTTTCATACTTCAGTTGAATTTCAACCTTAATGCATTTCAAACTCACAGGCAAAGATTGTAGGGTAAAGGAAGCTATGAATTCTTTTGCTTGAGAATAGGTTTTGGGGGAAGAGATGGTGTTGTTCCTGTCTTTTGTGACTATATTTGTAGGGACTCTGACACCATTCTGGGCTGTAGGCAAGGCCAACAACCATCATCACTGCAGAAATAATTACTGTAAGTGATAGGTAGAACCAGTTACATATCTGGTGTTTATTATCCAAGGAAGCAGCCACTGTAGTGAAGTGTTGAGTATAGCTTGTTTGTTTCCTTTTGTTTTGTTGTTTGTTTTTTTTTATAAATAAAAAATCTGCAGTGTTTCAATGCCAGTTTGTCAGAGTGCCCATTATTGATGAGCAATTAAAATCCCTTAAAATTTGGCCTATATCCATCATTCTTGCAGAACCAGAGGTCTAAAGGTTGAGTATTGTTCCAATTAAATCTGTTTTCCAGTGAGAGAGTACAAAATTAATCTGCCATGCGAAAAAAAACCAAAACAACAAAACAAAGAATTAAAGAACCTAGCACTCATCAAATGAAGCATGCCTTTTTCTTTAAAGTGGCTAAAATGGAAACCTAGTAAGACAATACCCAAAAGGTAATGTACAGACCATGTTACATTCATAGCACCTGCCCTCAGCTTTGGAATGAAAGGTTCCTAGGATGTGCATGAGCACTCAGAGCCAAGATAATTAATATATTAGGGCCTATGATGGGCTGATGAACTGGGAAGCAATCTGATTCATATGTGATCTCTATGTGCTGGTTTGTATCCTTGTGTATCTGATACAGAATTGGGTACAAAACAGGTGCTGTGGCTATAGGGAAAAATTAAGCATTACTATTAAGGTTCATTTTGAAACAAATACATTTTTTTTAAGCATTTATGATAACAAGTGATGTGCATAGGTAAGGGCAGAAAAACAAGTTACTGTGTGATAAATTAGCTGTGTATCTGCTAGTCTGTACAAACTGTCCTGTGTGTGCCTTACAAAGCAGCAAGTGAAAGCAAGTGACTGAGGGGAGGTAGGGAAAGATTCTAATAACTTCACAGGATGTGAATGAGGTACCTGCTCTGAGGAAACTGGTGCTTTGCAAGTTTCTATTTTACCTTACCAGTAGTGAGTTGGCCATCCATAACCAGAACAAATTGTAGAATATGTCTTCACGAGACTTTCCTTTCCTTGATGCTTTATAAAGCTGTTTTATGAGAGCATCTACCTCTTTCATAAAAGGTAAAATGTTGTATTCCCTATTGGTATTTGTTTATCTCTCTCTGTTTGCTGTTTCCCAGTGTGCAACTGCATCTTGAACTACCTTGAACTTTTGCTCTTGACTAAAGCACACATATTAGGCTCAGCCTTGAGAGTTTTGAGCCAAGCTTATTCCTCTCAGTATGTGTTTGGATCACTCTGGTGGCCCATGTTCTTGTGTTTTCCATTGTCAAGCTTGGAATGGGCATGTCAGACTGTAGAAGATACCAGAATGACTACTTTTGGAAACTTGAAACTGGTTAAAAGGGCAAGTAAATTGAGGGAAAACTGAATTCAAAGTATGTAGCAGAAGTGAAAAGGATTTTCTGGGAGGTGGGATAGTTGTCATAGGGTTTGTTTTTGAGAAGGTTTGGAACAAGATGAATCATTCTAGTAAAGAAAAAAAAATAGTTTGTTTTCTCTAATCAAGTTCTCTGCAATTTTTTTTTCCTCAAGTTTGAGCTCACTTGAACATGGCATGAGACTTTTCTTGTCTTGTATTTTTCCTTACAGTTTTAAAGACCATTTTGCCTGGAACAAGGTGACATCCTGCATCCATAACATCTTGAGTGGGCAAAGATGGATTGAACACTACGGAGAGATCATCATAAAAAATCTTAATGATGACACGTGCCACTGCAAACTGACTTTCATAAAGGTAACCACAGCAATGTTGGCACTGCCTTTTCTAACAGGCACAGCAGTGGGAGGGTGCTCTCTGCTGAAGCTCTACTTCTGCTTACAAGCTGTAATTACCTGTGATTCCTTGAAAACTGTATCTTTGAAGGAACTGCCACTCATTAGACAAAAAAAAAATAAGCAACAGCTTTCTTGAGTGATTCCACTGGAAATGGAGGGATTTTTGGGAAAGGAATATCTGTTCTGGGTTTGATGAGAGACGTAGGCACAAGGTGTCTACTGACAGTGGCTTACCACATGCCTCCTACTAGCCCACTGGCACATGCTGTGGTTGCATTCATTCTGCAGCTGTAGGACCAGTGCTTATGCAGGCTGCTTCTCCTGATGCTCTTTGCTAGCCCTTTGCAGGTACTCAGAGGAGTTTAAATAAGAGGTTGGGGTATTGCTCAAAGATTTTGCTTCAGTACAAGTACAATATATATGACTTCTTCAGGAACTGTTCTTATAACTGAAATTAAATTCAGTTTTTGGCAATAGATGAGTTGTAGTAAAGGAAAATCAATGAAAATGTAAAGCAATGCCAAAATTTCTAACCTGAGAAATAGTTTTATAAATCATCCTAAGAGACTTACCTTTCTCTGTATCTGAGAGAAGGTTCTGCTTTATATAGAACAGACCATACAGATACAAGGGAAGTACTTCAGTGTACCTATGCAGCATGCCATGCTCCCCAGCAAGTTTGGGGCTATTTTATTTTATCTATTTCCTGAATACTCTGTGCTTTCTAAGAAGCATTAGGGTGATTTTTTTTTTCCCAAATACTTACTTGAAAGTACTTTAATGTATTTTCAGAGCTGCACTGGAAGTTCAAATACTAAAGACTGAGAGCCTGCAAATCTTACACCTTTGATATTGTAGACTGTTTATAGTGCAGATGAATGTATGAGTTACTTCTCTTCCTCTTCTGCAAATTTGGGAGACATGTAGATAACCAAGTCAGGACTCAGGGCCAGCTGTGTTTGGGCAAAATTCAAGGTCAGCTGCACTTCACCTCATACTGCCCCTACAAAAAGGCAAACCAAATAAATACAATTCTCAATGTTAGTATTTTAAGAAGCTAACATATTAATGGGTTAGTGTTTTAATGTACTAGAAGTTGTTTGCATTTGATATTGTAATGCACACCTCAATTAACAGGTTTCATTGCTCTACAGCCTGGTGCTACTAGCATGGCAAAATGGCCTGCACTTGAGCTCTTATGCACCTTCCTTCCCTTTGTTCCTTTTAATTCTAGGCAAAGTATTGGAATCCAAATGCACACGAGATCGAAGGCAGTGTCATGGATAAATCTGGGAAAGTTGTGCATCGGCTCTTTGGGAAGTGGCATGAAAGTTTATACTGTGGGACAGCTTCATCTTCAAACTGCATATGGAGAGCAAGTTAGTGATCAGAATGGCTCATGTACACAAACAGATCTTCTTGAGTATTAAAACAACTTACTGTTTTAATCTCTTTATTAGGCCCCAATTTCTTGTTATTCTTCTGTAGAATATTTGATTTTTGTCAAGCATTTAAAAGCTAGATAGAAGAATATATCATTTAGATAATATGAGAACATAATCCCATAGCTTCCTTTATTTTCTCCATTCTCCCTCATTTTCATATTTGGTCATGAAGTGAGTATTGAGGACTCTAGCAGGAAGGGGGAAAAAAGGGAACAAACTGCTCCTCCTGCTTGTGCAGGGAACTGTTGTTTATTTCATGTGTTGAACACTAGAGGATAGCCTATGAAGCTCAGTTCTGTAAATTACAGTGATAATTGAATTTCTCCCAAGCTTGTGGGGTTTTGCCTACTGTGTTTTGAAAAAACATTGTGATAATAGCATGGCCTTCATCACGGTTGTGCTGTGAGTCAGCTGAGAGGACAGAAATCTGTCTTGTTGCAGTGCAATTGTCAAGGGGGATGTTCTCTTTTGTCACATTATTAAAAAGTTCTTCAAAAATCCCCCAGAACTGACACTGTGGATCAGGCATAAACAAATGACTGGAGGGAGCTTGAAATTTTCTTTCTCACTATAATAGCATTTAACTGGAATTCTGAATGCACTCTTTTCTTCTGTAGATCCAATGCCTAAAGATTATGAACAGTGGTATGGATTTACACAATTTGCACTGGAGTTAAATGAACTGGACCCACAAACTAGGTCGTTACTCCCATCCACTGATACACGTTTTAGACCAGACCAAAGGTAAGAAGCTTTAACTCTGAAATATTTTCCTTAAATAGTTCTTAATTTTCTGTTCACTCACTTTACCCTGAACTCAAGACTATTTTCTGTGGATAACTGCAGTGCCTTTCTATTTTTACATTAATGTGAATCTGAAACAGACATTGTAATCACTTATTGAGAGATGGTCTAGTTGTTATGGAAGTGTGTCCTAAAATTGCCTCTCGGATTCCTCTACATAACTGCCTTTCCTAGGATGTTAAAACTTAAGTACTTTAGGTACTGGATGTTGGGCATACAGTATTTGAATAACCAAAAACTGAGACACTTGCAACTTTTTTCTGCAGTGAAATTTTTACTGTCGCATATTTCCAAGTAGAAGAATCTAATGTAACTGTGACTCTGAGCTTGTTCGAAGAGTTATCTTTCCTTAAGTGCTTTTTCATGGTGCAGTTGTCTGCAGAGGTAGCTGTTTACCTTTCAAACACTGTGAAATACCTGCTGAAAAGATTAAATTCTGGGGGCAGGAGAACTATTGTCTCATATCACTGCTGCTGCAGGTTTCTAGAAGAAGGGAATATTGAAGGAGCTGAAATACAAAAGCAGAGGATCGAGCAGCTGCAGAGAGAACGACGGAAGGTGCTAGAAGAAAACAATCTAGAGCATCAGCCTAGATTTTTCAGGTACTAGATAATAATTAGCATAAACTATCATTTATTAAAATTCTTATTATAGATCTTATTCTAAATTGCCACGTGACAGGCTCCAGTTTTTTTCAGGGTTCACTTTGGTTTTGTACTTTGGTGATGTAGAATAATCCAGTCTTAGTTAAAGCTCAGAATTATGTATTAGTTTTTTATTAGTGCATCCCTGAATTTTATTTTATTTTTTTTTTGCCTTGATGGCAATTGATATTTAGTCTGCATTTGAATTTGCCTGAGTTAATGTGGCATCTTTGAAGCATGTTGAAGTAGCTGGATTTAGCTCAATTGCCTCTGCTTAATTCAGGGGGATTACCTGATGTGGAATTGTGCAGAGTTGGAGCCTTTCGCATCCAAGGCTGTTTTTGAACATGTTTCCTGTGTTTTATGGGGAGAGAATTATTGTTCTGAAGGCACTTTATCTCTTCCTGTTGTAAATCAGTTAAACAGGAGACTTGAGGTGTTGAAAGACTAAAAGAAATGCTAGCGGTCTTTTGCCCTCCAGCTTCTCTGTTCTCCTGCAGTGAAAGAGTTTGAGCCAAGATTAATGTTGTATGGGCCTACAAGCAGATCTGAGATCCTATTTTTTCTGGATATATCTATATTGTACTTCTGAGGAACACAGGAATGTTGTAAACAGGTGCAAAAGGGAATGACTTAGGCTACTTCATCTCTGACAAGTTGGTGAGCTAACTCATCACATGCCAATTACACCTACTAAAGGGAAGCAGGATAGAGGCAAAGACTAACACTTTGTGACTATATATTTAGAATGAGAATTGTGAATAAGATTCAGGATTTGAATCCTTACAATGAGGATTTGAAAGTTGTGATTTATTCTGTAGATTTAAATGATGGAATAAAGAATTTAATTATTATATAGAAAAAGTATTAGAGCAGATGCAAGCTAATGCATTTGGCTCTTCAATAGTGATGTTCTCAGGTGAACATTAGGCTATTGGGATGCCTCTCCCTGGCCCAGCGCAGACACACCCATTCAGCTCTCCAAGCTGTGCTGCTCCTGGTTCATGGGCTGGATTTGGTATCTGTGCATGCTGCTATATTGCGTTACATAACATATGGATGGAAAATACAAGCTTACATTTGTTTAATCTTTGGTAGGAAATCCAGCGATGACTCCTGGGTGAGCAATGGAACCTACATGGACCTTAGAAAAGAACCTGGTTTTTCCAAACTGGACAGTCCTGTCCTTTGGTGAAAGAGGAGCTAAGTGAAGATATTCTGTGCTGTATTCTTGGATCTGATTTAAAAGACATATATATAAAATATAACTATATATCTATATGTACACACAAATATATGCACACACACATACAGAATGTGTGTGGTGTGTGCAAATGTGCATATCTCCAGAATTGTGCTTAATTTAGAATCTGATAATTCATTTGTTTCCTTTACTCAACTATTGCAGTGATTGTTTGAATGTATAAATATCCTAATTTCTTTTTTATAAAATATTTAATAAATAGTACTGAATGTTAACAGATAGAAAAGAGAAGAGCTTTTACACTACTTTTTCAATGTGTAATAATGTCAGTTCTGAGTTAAATTATGCCTTACTGAATTGCATTGGAGACAGTAGCATCAGCATCTCCTAGCTGTGCTGAGGAAGAGTGCAAGCCTTAGTAACACAAACTGTAGGCAGGCTTCCACAGTGCAATGAGTAGTTCAGCTGTCTCTGGGCTGGTATGAATTGCTAAAACAGATTATCAGCTGGTGCTGAAATCTGACTATGATCTTTTGCTGTCTGTAGGAAAGATTTAAGTGAGCTTTTGTTTCTATTAACTTTCTTCTTAGCTTTATGGAAGAGGTAATTCTGAGCTTACATTGGTGGTTCTACTGCCTTATACATAAACTGTACCCGGTTACATGCAGTGCTGGAAAGTCAGGAATCGCCAAAATTTTCCACTGGGAAACATTTTCACTTCAAATTTATAGCCCCCAACAGGGCAAGAAGAGATGATTTGTATATACTGCTTGAGCACGAACTAGATGAAGAAGCTCTCTCTTTTTCCAGTAAGTGAAATCTTACACAGAGCACGAAATCCTGTGCTTCCATAGCTTCATTTGTTTTTAATTCACTCAAAAATTGCAACAGTAAGACTTTTTAAGAAGTAAGCAAACAGATTGTTTTAAGCTAGAAATTTTTTCCTAGTATTTTGATATTTTCTACCTCTTAAATAACATATTTAAGATCTTATATTTAAAAAATTACCACCTGCCTTATGGAGAAGTATATGGAGTCTTTGATCTTCCTCTGTTTGTTTGTTAAGTTCAGATAAATATTTAAATGTCTTGCACTAAATCAATTGCATCCCTTTCCTGTAATTTTAGATGTATGGTTCGATATGTGCAGCTACTAAACCATAGGTCAGAAATTTAGCAGGAAACAAATGTAGCAGAAGCCTCACTTTTGAATGAAGACTACAGAGATGGGCAGTATTTTGGGGTTTTTTCCATCAAATCACGATGCCATAGTCATTAACAGAATAATTTGCATTTCCACATATCTGCAACCCAATCCATGATTCTTCGAATCTGCTCTGTGTGTCTGCAACTCTCTGCCAGCAATGCATTTTTCCACATGACAGATCTACATCCTGTCACCACACCCTTTTCTTTTCTTTACATGCCACTGTAAAGACACAAAACAAACCCCAATGCTGGCACATTAAATTGGCTTATGACTGGAACAACTGGACATGGCATGGATAAAGTAGACTCCTAGGAGGACAGACTAATAGCTTAGAAAAGCTTGCACTTTACTGCAATTGTGCTGCATTGTTCTAGGGAAAATCTATTATAAATGGATCCATGTATTATATGTAACATGAAGGAAATACTATGAAGGTTTTAAATTTTAAACAAAATCTGTGGTGTCAGATTAGATGTATATTTGAACTTTGCTTTCTATTACCTTGAAGCCTCATTGTCTCAGAGGCAGATGAATGCTTTTTCACTGTTTTTCATTCTGCCCAGGATCTCTGCCTCACCATCATTTCTGTAATTTATTACCAAAGAAGTTAGCATAATTATATCTAATTAATATGTCTTGGAAAAACTTGACTACCATGCCAGCAGCTTGCAACAAGGCAAGGTTCACACTTACATGAAGACAAAATCTGGGCTTTGATTCCAAAGGAAATCTTTAAGTTTGGGGCCGTTCATCTTTTCAAGAAAAATGAGGTTCCCTTCATGACTTGTTCCCTTCCTATCTTTTTTCCTTGTATTAACTGTCAAAACCTGGCACAGAAATGAGTTGATAGTTGCAATTATCCTTGCTGTCAGTAATTACAAATTATACTAAAAATAAGGGTCATTTAAAAACAAAAGAGGGTAGAGGAAATAAAAGCTTTTAAGAAAAGGAGCAAAATTTGTGGAGGCTGCATTAAGCTTGCTCATTGTCATATTTGGCAGCTACTGTGATACTATCTGATCTGATTGCTGGGTTTGTATATTCTGTGTGTGGAGGGGATTCCCCCATACAGGTATTAAACAAAACCGATCTCACATGGGGTATTTGAGTCATGATTTTTGATAACCCAGACTGGCAGTGCCATTTCATAGAGTCTGATTTCTCTAACACTCCAAACTGTCCGAAACACATGGGATTAAATGACAAGAAGCATTGGGCTGAGCTGTGCCTTACACAAAAATTTCTTCATCAAAATTTCTGTATCAAGAGAGTAAACTCCAGAATTTTAGCATTGTCTCCATAAAAATGCCTGAGAATAATCCAGGGCATTTCTTAAATGCATGAAGCAAAATCACTGAACAAGTAATTGCTCCTTTTGTAAATCTATAATACACACCTCCAAACACAATGTAACCAGTTGTGAGTGATCCTCTGACCCCACATTTCCAACTGCAGTATAGTATTCCCTGCTTACTTTTGTATGAAACAATTTGGTTTAGTTGTTAAACTTCTGTTAACTGTATATTAAGAAGTGGAAAAAAATTGTCTTGATGTTAGTTCTGTGTATTTCTGCATGTAAATATATTCAACATTCACAATCTTAATATATTCTATAAAGTTTTTCTTGGTAAAATATGTAATTTTGGTAATTTTCTTCCCCAGAACTTCTGCTGTGTTAATGGTTACAAAATTTATATTAGCTTTTGGCATCGTCACTAAAACAACTGTGATTTTTAATTACTGACACTGAGGGACTTTTTACCCACTATTTCTACCCTGAATGGTAAAAAAGCATGTATCAGGCAACTTAACTGCTTCCTTTCATACGCATCTGTGATCCCCAAGGTGTGTAGCTCAATGGATCAGTCTTAAAATTTCCTGATGGACCCTTGCCTGCTGTTACAGCTCTCTTATTTCATGACTTTATAAACACTTCTTAATACAATTTTGGAGGCCAGTTTGAGAAGCACTCGTGCAGCTCTGCCTTTGCTTGTGTGTCTCTTCATAAAGCAAAACCCTCACTATAAACTTCCATCAAGGTGATGGAGCAGCTCAGGCCTTTGGGTGTTGAAACCCTGCTTCATTTTTCAAGTTGTAAAGAAAGAAAGAAAGAAAGAAAAAAAAAAAAGAAATTCAGGGAAATATCGTACATAGGAACAGAAAACCACAGCTCTACTTTCAGATTTGCAGGATTGATGCTTAGTTTCTGATTTTGTGTAAATTTGGGATTACAAAACTGCATCACTTGTTCAGGAGGTGACTCTGGGTAGCATAAAATGCTCTTTAGACCAAGTGGAACTAGAATGTACCATTAATCACTGCATTCCTTTCTGGATCTCTATTCTCCAAGCTATGCTTGATGTGACAGTTTGCCAGCACTGAACTACTTCTTTTAGCCACTTTTTGAAACACAGATGCAGCAGTCTGTACTTAGGTTCTTTATGCAGAGCTTGGAATGTTAGGTGCCTAGAAGAAAGACTAAAACCAGCCCAAATTTTGATAAGGAAACATCCTGGAGCTCTGTTCTTCCACCAACCAGTTTTCTTTGAAGGACTGGAAACAGGATTGCAGGACTGGAAACAGGATTGCTGTTTTCTTTTAAAATCTGGCCCCTGAAGGACATAGTAGTTGCAAACACAGTCACCTTGTTACCTGGCAGCTTAGTGTTGAATCCAGATCACTGCACAGAAAGAACACCAATTCATGGGACCAGAAATTAGAGCCCAACAAGGGATAGCTTTCATGTTGCAAAATGCTCCAATGCTGATCTCAAAATAAACAACCACCAAAAAAGATCCAACCTAACAAAGACTCAAAATAAACAACCACCAAAAAAGATCCAACCTAACAAAGACCTCACACCTTTCCATGTCCTCCACCTTCCCTCAGCTGTTTACAGTCCTGTTCAGGTTTTCTATGTGCTCCCTTATTCAGTGTCCCATTTTTCTCTTTATTAAAAAAACCTGATGAATAGGGAGACAGTCCATTCTAACAAATGATAAATCATATCTAAAGGCTGTAGTTAAATTATTTTCCCCATAAATTCCTTGTGTATCTTTTCCGTGACTGTGAATAAGACTTTCTTACACTCTGCAGTCAGACCTGGTAGTGTGCTATGGAAATATGCAGTTATATCTGCTCAGCAGTTCCTAATTACTAATGTCCTTGCATCTGCTTTTGTGTGAATTTCTTGTGTTATCTCTCCAAATGACCAGCTTGGCAAAGCAGGAAACTTTCAGCATATCTTGCTGTGTTCAGTATGGCTTCTTTTTTGTGTACAACTCATGCAGAGGGGGCGAGCTGAAGAGGAGTGCAAAACTTGGCCCGTGGTGCATTTTAATAGAGAGAAGGATGACATCCAACTCGTCCACATAACTGAATACATCGTGCAAGGGCTAGAATGAGATGGTGCTGTTCAAAGGAGTGACATTAAAATGAAAGGTTTTTTGGTTGAGTGTGTTTTCATTCATGAATTATGCCTACAATAAATAAAATTCAGTGTTCACTAACTCATCCTTTCTATTTTTTAGCTACTGGTGGGTGCAACTTACTCCAGCAACTGTGGGCTCATAAGAAACTGCACATTATCTGGATTACCTTTTGAAACTTAGTAAATGCTGTAACTCTCAAATGTATTACTGTACTGCTCAGTACTTAGATACTGTTCTTGCTGCAGCTTTTTGAAAGCAATAAGAGAAATTTTCCACATAAGTAGATGCCATATGTTAAAGAATTATTTTAAATTATTCATTTTTTTTTAATATAAATTGTGGATTTGGTGTTTTAAATGTTTAAAACAATACTGTAATAAAGCTTATGAGAATGTTTGGGATGTTGATCCACAAGAGGTGATGACCTCCATCAGTTCCACACCTTGGAGATGGTTGGCATCCCTGAGAATCAGAAAGTCTTTGTGTTAACAGTATTTTTCGAGTTCTAGTATTGGAAAATACCCACATGTTTGAGGTATTACATAAACAAAGCTGCTAAATGCTGAATTTGTTGGTTTTTTTGATAGGTCATTCATTAGTGATTCCAGAATGAGGAACAGAATCTTATGTATTAGAATTATTGCTGACTTTCAGATATTTGAGAAGTCTCCCTGTAGTCAGGACCATCCCTGTTTTTGACTTCACTCCAAAAATTTGTAATAACATTGGAGTACCTTGATGCACAACTTGATTTATTATTTTTGTCTCTGTAACCAATTTAGTTGGATGTTTATAAATTCTACTTGTAAAAGGTCACACAGCACCCTGACGTTTTCCCAGGGGTTGTAAGTATCTTTCTTCAAAGGTTGTTAGTGGTAGCTGAAACAAATCTTTCTGGGGGAAAGTGATCTGTGCTTTTTTGTATTTTGCAAAATAGCAAGTAGGAAAGAGCTTCCATCTGCTAGAACCCTTATTTGTCACTCTTGCAATCTGTCTGGTAGTTGTGCAATGTTCCAGTTGTACTGCTCTACACAGCCCTGCTGCATGGCTATTGTGCCAGACACTGGAGCAGGAAAAGGGGTAAGCTGATGGAATCCATTTCAACTGGAAGTTTATTCTTAAAAGCAATTTTTAGTAGACATCTGTGCAGCATAAATATTATGCTGTAGTATGAGTGTAGAAGCCACGAGCTAAATGTGCTCCATAAAACAACTTTTGTAAACAAGGAAACATGGTATTTACTGGATAAAATAAATAACTGGAAAGAAAGGATCTCACTGTGGTGGTTTTTCCCTTAGAGATGGTGATTCAGGACAGCTCTGCCAATCGGACCTCAGCTGTGTCTCACAGTCCCACTATATGTGTATAAGATGCAATATAGTTGGATCTTGAAAACTGTGGAAGTACAGTGAGTGTAACTCTTGACTAATGTGAAATTTCTGACTGCAGTTCTGCAACACTGCAGCCTCAGTGTCTACAAAGATTTGGTGGGAAGGAGCATGGAGCTCTCAAGAAGAGCTGAGAAAACTGGATCTCTAAATGTGTTACCATGCAAAATATCCTCAGCTGTTGCACATGGCAGAATCAGGATAGAGGACAAAAAAAAAAAACATTCTTTATACTGGGCAAGAATCAGCTCCTGATTTTTTGAAATCCAGTCATTTTGGTTCTATTGGGTTAAGAACTTCGGAACTTCCTCATCATGTTAGGGGGAATTATTTCATTGCTGATTTATTTCATAGAGATCTGATACGGTTTAATTGGTATCTGAAATAGTTTATTATTAGGAAATATTTTAGTATTTAGTAAACATTGCATATTTATTATATTTATTTAGTACAAGTTGCTGAAAAAGTTGTGGTTTACAGAAGCAGTAATATTTTTTTCATAATTATAAAAGGAAGAGGAAGATTGCAAGGGATGCTCATTATTGGTGCCCCACTCATGAACACTCAGGGCAGCAGGAATTTCTCTTACAAAGAAATAGATATGGAGTGAATTTCTTGTGTCTGCCCCTCAAGCTAATAGCATGCCAAGTGCCCACAGTGTGGTCAGTGCTATGCAGACAAACCAGGCTGTTTCCCCTACAGAAGAGCAAGGTAAACTTGGTTTGTATAGATCTTGCATCCAGTTTGTGTTTAAGTTCAGTCGTCTGTTCGTTTACTCTAATCTCTATTTTAAAGTCATTTTGCTTACTGCAAAATGATTCAAACCTTCATAGGGTGAGGAAAAACACTGACAGCTGAGCAAAGCTTGCTCTACATAGTAACCAACACATCTTGGCTTTTTTGTTGTTGTTTTGGTGTGTTTTTTTATGCCTCTGTTGTATTTCTTTCACCTTGCAAATGTTGCTGTCCATGCTTGGTTTATTGATTTTTAATTCAAACCTTTCTGTTTTATGCATAAGAATTTGTAGGGTTACTCTCTGTTTTTAAATGGGGTTAAATGCTGGCCAGGTACCAAATTCTGTACTATACTTCTGAATTTATATCTTTGCTTACTCTGTACTGAGAGAAATATTTGAAATTACTTTGTGCAAACTCTCATTTGAGGTAAATCAACATTGCTCTACTGAGCTGAGTGTAACTGAGGCTTAAGTTAACTGAGAATTTGTCTCTGTGGGTTTGTTGATACAAGTTTTTACAGGCTCTTGAAACAGCAATAAATTCCTGGAACATGAGATGTTGTGTGTATGAACATCTGCTGATGTTTCTGACTGTAATTTCAGACTCCAGGAATTATTGTCTTCCTCTAAATATTAGGGTACCACTTCTCCTTGAGGACTTTGTGCACTGATACTGCTATTCTAGTAAAACCAGCTGTTAGAATTGAAAAGTACTTTTTTTTTTTTTTCTGCTTAGTTAACATTGCTTGTCTTCATTAAAACTTTTTGATAAAAATTAACTTCCAAAATTACGAATTCTTTACTTTTCAGCTTGCAATAAAAAAAAAAGAAATATGATTGCAGTAAGTCAACTTTGAACTACTGCAGTACACACCTTGAAAAATCCTCTCCTCCTTAGGTTTTTATGGGGATATGTCTGCAGTGCCTAGATTGCTGCCTAAGGTAAGGAAGCTTATGTAGATTTATCAATAGATGAGAACCTGTCTAATAGCTGAAAGAGATTTACAGTTTTGTTTACTGCAAGGTTTGTTATAATTTCAGCAATTGACAGCCTGAAGATGGAGTGAAGTCAAGAGATCATCCTACTTGTATTCATTGTTTGCTACTTGCCCTTCATCAAGGAAGCAAACTCTGTAAAGGCAACTAGAGCTATATAGGTTTTTTGATAGAAAAATCAATTTTTCTTATAAGGTTCAAAAATAGTGCACCAAATTATGAAGTTCTTTGGTGGGGAAAATCTTTTACTAAGGGCTTTGCCTAAGAGAGCTCTGCAAATAGGTCAGTAAGGGCAAGATTGACTTTTTCTGAGTTCTCTAGTTACTGAAGGATGATGAGCTTAGCCCTTCCTTTCATTTTGGAGACAGAGTAAAGCTTCAGTTAAAGTTCATGCAAGGTAGAGAACTCCAGGAT